GCACCCCAGCTCACACTTACGCTTTGTATACATTGAGCTTAATACAATCTTTTGCATTTTCACATTCATAGTATCTTTAAACTAACAATTACTGACATTTAGATTCAAGTGGACAATCCAAACTACAAGCATTCTTTATATATGCATTCTTCAAGTTACACAGAGCCTACAAGCTATTTCACTCTTAAATATTCTACTCTTCCTACTTCCAGGAAAAGGCTGCATAAGGTACATTTTTCTTAGCTTATTCACAGCAATAGAATCATGTTGTGCATACATCAGCAGATGTCTCCTGCTGCAGTTGAGTAGCACCTGCTTTCAAATTATTTCTGCAATAGTTTTACTTGCTTAAATCTCCCACTTTGCTGAGCTCCAGCAGCAGTCCAGGATGGCCCTCCAGGCTTGGACATACTGTAGGTGCCATCTTTTTTTAATTTCATGGGTAAAGCTTTCCAGGATTAGAAGATAAGTTCTAATCACAGAAAAAATATCCTAGGGCACACACATGCTGCCTGCACAGGGTGCGTGCCAGTTCTAAAGGGACACCAGTGACAGGTGGGGCTGATGTGACAATGGCAGTATCTGCTCACCTCACCTTGGCCAGGGAGAAGCCACACAAGGTGAGGCAGCTGTCTCTGCCTTTGAAGGTGACACACGGAGTAGAACTAAGCAACCAGCTTGTGGAGATGACAGATCCAGTTATACATACAGATTCCTGTGTTCCTAAATTACATTTAATGCTGCAGAATTGTCATTGTTAACTTTATCTTCCTACAATCTTAGCTGGAAATAATCTGTGAACAGAATTATTTGCATAGATTTTTTTTCAGACTCTTGAAACTTATGCCTTAATACGTATGTGCCAGTGAACGATATGGGTATCTCCCAGTCAAAACAAATAATTTAACTTAGAGTAACGGGTTTAAGGAAATTGGTTGTTAGAAACACTTCTATTCCTCTGGCCCTGCAGAACTGTTAGCGGGCTGAAAGTTACTGCAATGACAACAGGATAAAGTGAGGAGGTGTTGAACTTTTTGACAGCTGACTGACTCCAGAGCACTGATTCACATACATGCACAAATAATCATTTGGGTTGAAATCTGTCCTGCTAAACTTATTTCATTCCAAAGCCAGTTGGAAAGTTTAAAAAAGATTAAGTGAACCATTTTTGAGCACTATTACTGTGAAATGCTTGTGTATTTCTGGTGTTTTAAACTAGTTCCAACATTGCCTTATCAAGTGCACCACTTTTAGTACTATTGAGAAAATTTCTAAGATCTCTGTACAATAAAAGGCATCATATCTAAAATTTACATCTTCAAAGGGCTGCCTCAGTTTTCACTGACATTTGCACAACCCAGATGTCCTACATTCAGTACCCCACAATAACATTTTTGCACATGCTCTAAAATTCACTATTAGCTCTTCTCTCCCTCCCATCATATGAGTCCTTCCTTTACAACAGACTTCATATAAAACATGCTCTTCTATACACAACACAGTGGTTAGTTAAAGTCACCAAAACATCAACCTCATTTCCATTTCCTATAAGACTCTTCCCTAGCCTGTTCTTCCCGCTTTCCAGGTTATTAACATAGGCTGAGGACCTCCTCATTCCCCTCTGGAACAACCTGTTCTGATTTTGTGTTCCCCATCAGAGCAGATGTGTGTTCGAGCCCACACATACCACAGAACACCCAGTTCCCTGTATGGGTGGAAGGGAGGACTGGAAAGAGTCCTGAGTTCCAGCTGCTGCTCCAGTGAAATTTTACATGCCATTGGTAGTCACTGGACAAGTACAATTCCTTGCATCCCCTTCTGAAAAGGAAGCTGAGCAGACAGTGAAAATCTATAACAGAAATCTGATGCAGAAGGAAGCACATGTAATACCCAGTAAAGTGATGGCAAATCCTCAGAAAGATGTAGATTTAAACTTGGATGCCTCTCTCTGAAGTTTCCCAAAGGCTAAGCCTGGTCACTTCCTTGCACTTGGAGCTGTGCATCTTCCCCCACCCATTCCACAGTCAAGGAATTTAACTGGGAATTTTGCACTGCACCACTAAAGACAGTGTTAAAAATTAACAGGCAAATGTTCATCAGTGTGATGTCTACATCCTTTAATGCTGCACTTGGGCTTAGAAATGTAATTTAGAAAGCCATAAATACTTTCAGTCTTAAATTCTGTTTAGATGCTTAACTTCAAATAAGTTGATTTAATTTTGGCAATCTCCTAGGCTTTTGGTCTTACACACTTTGTCCCTTTGAACTGCAATTCAAATTTCATCCGCTACTGCCATTATATTCTACCCACAGCACATACTGTAACTTACATTCTTTGAATGGTAAATAGAAGAGTTTCAAATAAAAGCCTTTCAGCAGGATCTACATAGGCCAGGCTTATTTTAAAATTATTGACTTTCTGATCCCTTCTGCCTTTAAAATACCCAGAGGTGCCTTGTATTAGCAACAATGTTGAAATACTGACTTGCAAACGAAGTATTTCAGAGCTGGATTTGAATATCACATTAGGTACGAGCTCAAGCAAAAGCCCCGGTGTCACAGTGGATGACCATGTCAGCTCAATGGTCACACACTGAAAAACCATGGGAAAAATGTACAAAAATGTAGAAGATAAAGGTTTTTCACTCTACAGCAGACCTAGCACAAAAGCATACTAACCAGTTAAGTATGAGAGAAAAGGTAAAATTCTGCTGATCCTGTTTTAAAACAAGAGCTAGATAATAATAAATAGAGTTTACAAGGTGTGTAATGCTTTCTCCAGATGCTACGATTGCACTGTAGAACACATTATCAACAAGGGCTGCTCACATCCAAAAACTTAAATAATCTGAATATGCTCAAGCAAGTTTTATGGCTAATAGTATTAGTTAAAGTAGATTAAGGATAACTTGATTTTTTGCAGGACAGTAAAGTCAGTAAGTCAAGATTTACACTGACCCCTAACAACTGGGAGTGGACAAAGCCCTGATGTTTGGGACAAGTAATTTTGCAGGTGGGCTGCTGGCGTCTTCTTTCTCCCCTGAGAGTACCAGCCACTCTTCCCAATGCCAAGGACAAAACCTGTCTCTCTTAATGCTGTCATGTATTACTTCAAGGAGCCCCCTCAGAAGAGTAGGAGGGCCTGCTGACTTGTATCTTTATGCTGTCAGAATTGGCGTTATTTACTACTTTAACAATCACACACTTCTAACCTTTTGAAAGGTAGTCTTTTGGTGTGCATAGAACAAAGAAAATGACCAGGCAAAGTAATTTTTCAAAAGCAACACTGTAAAGCTGCACTGGGCAAGATTCAGTCTGGCTGCAGTCATGCCCTAAATGTACAGTTTCAGATTTGATAATTAAAATTCTGTCTTGTGCAAATATTTCTACCTTCATATTACTAATTTTCATACACTTAAGAGGGCAACAGAGATGGATCTATCTAAGAGAAGATCTTCCATGGGGAAGTCATCTGAAACTTCCCAAGAAGTGCCTGGGAGTGCTTCTGCAGCAATGCTATTTGGCCTAACTAGTCCAACTGGACAGCAGAAAATCACATTTAACATGTCTAATAAAAAACATGCACTGATAGATGTAACATTACCAGTATGCAAAAATTAAAATGAAACAAATTAAGAACTCCAAACATTAAATTCAGATTGTTTATTGTAAACAGAATAACTCTAGCACTCTGTCATACTGGCTGTGTCACATGCACCCAATTCCACATCAACTGCTTAAAATAGCACTTGCAAAAATTACAGTTATGTAATAATAATTTATGGTTTCTTACATAAACTAATTAACAAGCACTAAAATTGAATTACAGTGTATTCTAGGTAGTTCTTTATTGCTTGTAGACACTGCAGCTTTGGATCCATTAAAATGAACCCATTAGTATGCCTGAGTTTATCAAAATTTACTGCTATATCAAACTCAGAAACTGTAAAATGCTGGAGAACACTTAAAAGCAATTAAGAGTTGTTGGAAAACTACATGGGTTTCCACATCCAGTCACAGAACTTTGAAGGTATACATTTTTTCCCTCTGGAAAACATGATTTGTGAGCTTGTGTTAGATACACTGCTATTCCAATTTATTTATTTATATAATCTGTTAAGAGTTGATAGTACTTCCATGAATATATATATATATTTATTTTTACACACAATAGGAGCCATTTCATTGTATTCACCATAGGAGTGGTATGTTTAAATACTAAATCCCAGAATATATATTTTTATAATATGTTGTCAAAACTTTTAATATATATAATACAAATACCTTTACTAAAGGAAAACTATAAACAAAAGTGAAATGCAAGAGGGCAAAATGCCTCCTGTGAAGGATCCATCAAAAATGTGAGCAGAGACACCTTGACTGGTTTTGTTTAGAGTGTATTTATTTCTTTTTCTTCTTCACCAGGCTAAAAAAAGATGCTAGTGGCCTTCCTTGGCAACAGGTTACATCACAAACTCTCATCAAATTTATTGAAGATACTGAAACATGTACCGTTAACCTTTAAAACACCTTTTAAATGCACCATATTCGGTTAGAAGAGACTCTCAAATCCAACTTAAGGCCCTGCCCTGTCAAGCACTCCTTTAATTTGGCCTCAGAGCCAATATAAGAACCAACATTGATTCAAAGAACAGCCCCTACTGACTGTACCAGGATTCTGATGCTTGACATACATGCTTGTCACATCAGGGCATTACTTTCAGGCTCTTTTAGTAAGAAGCAAATTTTCATTAACACCTCTGATGAGCAGATTTTATATCTTCAGTGCTTTACATACTCTCCTCCTGTCTGAGTAAGTGCCATCTCCTTTATGTATTACAGAGGTAGGAGAACTTATTACTCCTTGCCTTTTCCTATTTGGGTGCTGTCCCAAGCACAAGACCACTCTGCAGAAGTCAGTAAAGTTGGTGAGGATGAGCCACCTTATATTGTTTTATAGACTCTCTACATTATGGAATATATATATATGTGTGTATATATATATATATACATACATATATAAACATTATTTCAGCAGAGTTCTTGATCCTTCTGAGTTCTGCACAGCCTTCTTCCCAGAAGTAGGAGCAAACACTTTGTGATGTAACCTGAAGCACGTGCTGTGGCACTGCTACCCCAGCACTGCACTGTCCCAAACACCTTCCTGAAGGACAAGAAGGACCCATACACATATCAAAATAGTAAATGCATCTGACTCATCAGAGAGCCCCTATTTGACATGCACCTGTTCTTGAGAAAAGAACTAGTGTGTGTTTAAAGTTATTTGCATTAATGAGTGCTTTGCTGGACTGAGACCCAACATAACAGGTGAGGCAAAACAGACTGAGTTCTCCTTCAGCACATATGCAACTGAAAACAAAAAATGACACCAAATAAAGTATTTGGTATACCAAATGGACAGTTCACAGTAATGCTGTAAAACTGAACAGGATGTTGACAGTATCAAGAGACTGGGGTGACACTTTTGGTAACAAAAATAAGATGCACTAATAAAGTGTTTCCAGCATTTTACTAGTTTTAATATAAAATGTCCCCAAATTTATATAGAAAGATTAAAATCATGCCCTTATCTTCAATTATTCTCATTAACACAATTCTCTCACCTATTACTGTGTTGTCAAATTTCCTTTTTTTCAGCCCCACTGGTCTTCATAAAACTTAAATAGAAAATATGTTGGTTGCATTAAGGATCAATTAAAAAAGTATCATTCAACACGTCACTTCAAAAAAATGTGAAAGTCTCTATTTTTAAGAAAAATTGTTGACCTCATCCCAAAAAGGACTTACATATCTCACCCCCTCCAACTCCCAATAAAATAATTACTGGGATACTAAACGGTGTTTTTCAGGAGAAACAAGCCCATTTCAAGCAACTTTGTTTGCTCTGGAGGGTTATTTCATCAAAATTAAAATCTGAAGGGATATGTTATTTTAAAAATATACTGCATCTACAAGTTTTTTATTATTATCATGTCAGTTGATTTTGGTTTTTAACAGGTTTTCTGTAATATAAATGATACATGACCACAACTGATTTTTATATACTCTATCCCTAACACACAGCTAATGTCAAATGAACCAAGAAGGAATTTCTTGGGACTTCCATAATGAACAGAACCATTTATCCCAATGATATTTAATAATTTTGTTCATCACGAAGTCGCCCGAAACCATGTCAGTACTGATCATTTGCATTTCTTCATCCATTGGGGCTCTTCACAGTTTTGCAGCCATGAAATTGATATGTGGTTTCACCAGTGGGAAGAGCGGTAGACTGCGCTTGAATTCTGTCATATTTTCAATCACACTTGGCTGCAAAGAAGCGCATGCAAGAAAAAGTCTGCTCAGTATCTTCAATCAGAAAAGTGACACATTCCTTGCTTTTAACTGTTGCAACAGCTACATAAAAATACACCTGTCTTGCTCTTTTCTACAATATTAGTGATTCATACTTCATTATTACAGGAACCTCCAAAATACAATGTTACTTCCTATGAAACAACCAGTTTCACGTTACATCATTTCTAACAGCTATAATGCAGTAACTGCATTGTTAATAATGTCAGAATCTCCAATAAATGCAGAGGTGATCTTTCCATTTTCATTCTACTTCAGAGCACCCCAACTGTCCTTTGAACATCAGAGTAAGATCAGAACCACAACAGCTATTCTATGCACTATTATTTTTAGATGTAGTAACAAAGTAAGGTTCTACTATACCAGTAATAATGGCTAATATATCCCCATACCATTCATACAGAAATGTTTACCCATGCCAGTTATTTCACCTGTAAGGTCTGATGAAGACAACAGACCTACCACACTGTGAAAAGTTAATTAGTTGGGACAAACAAATGCTATCTTTCAAGAAAATTCACTGAAGGTCCAGTAAGGGCCCAGTGCTGTCCTATCTAACCACAGTGAAATATGTAATAATTGTATGAACAGAATTTTCCAAATTGTTTCCTCCACAATTAAACACATTGACAAGAATGTTCATTAATATCTAATCAAATACAATCAGTATTTTCAGACAATAATCATCTGTATTTATTCCATATAGTGCAGATACCCAGTGGAGTTTACTACTACTAATAGCTTGTGTTTCAGAGGGCTAAAAAGAATTGAGGTAAATGGACAAATTGACAAAAAGAAAAATCAGGAAAATCCCAGCTACTGAGGACAAAAATGCACGTAGAAAAGAGCAAAAACATCAGCCCTATGACAGCAGGAATTTCCAGAGGTCTGTTTCTCCCTATAAACTTGTAGTTAATGATACAAAACCTCTAGATTAAGAATGCAGGTTAGGATTTTTTTATGTGCTGTGTTTTTTTACCTGTGGTAGTGGTGGTGCTGGTGCCAGGTTCACATCATTTTGGCATGGAAATTCTCCAACAACAGGGCCTATTTAACATCAGCAAAATTAATTTGGGACCATAATTTAATGATTATCTTTTACATAACTGATTCACTGTTTTCTCTTATAAGACCGATATCTAAATAAAGCACCTTGATTTAAATATTGAAAATTAAAAATTTTAAATATTTAAATTTTAGAGTATCACCAAATAAGGTTTTATAAACATTTTGCTTTTATATTCCACATCTGTCTTTAGAAATACAGATATTAATCCATTATTTTATCTGAAAACATGAGCTGAGGCACTGGCTTCTATTCATTTAACTTACACATAAAGAGAATGTAGAAATAAAAATTGCTAATCTGTTGATCAATCAATACTTAAAACTGCTTCTCAATACAAATTATAAGAACAGTAGCAAATGCCAATGGTACATACAAGAGCAGTGCAAGAACAGCACATCATTTGATAAGGACATGCCTATAGAAGTGTAGAGGTTTCTACAGGTACCAAAAATCTGGACAGCTACCCCAAGTATTCCCTGCCTATCACCATGAATGTCCTATTTCAATTACTCCGAAACTTATTCTTGCATTTCTAATCTCTTTTTTTTATCATGGCATAAGAGAGGCCAAATGGCAGATTAAAAATTACAGACTGGACTGTTGTTTTAGGACTTACTATAATTTCTGTAAGTGACCATTTGTTAGGCTGTCTTGCAAGCTCACTCTTGTCTTGGGAAGATACAATTTCAAGCAAATAATACCCAATCTGGCAACACAGGTACTACACTTTAGGAAGTCTTCTCTAGATAGGAGAAGTTTTAGAACTATTTCTATTTAGCAATTACCAGTCATGAAAACTGGAAAGGTACTTTGAAGCAAGTCATCCTTACTCAGCTGCAAAGCTACAATTTCTACACTACCATAAAAATCAATCCTTCTGAGGCAGAAGGGAGTTTCATAACATGCACGCAGTATCTGCTTCTCTCTGTATTACAGACAAGCATGTAACTATGACTTGCTGGAACAGGAATTGATTAAATATTATATTCAGCACAATACTTACAGGAATCCATTTCCCTTGCAAGGACATGTACTGATACCTTGTGTCTTCTCGGAGCATCTATTGCCAACAGCACCTACAATAAAAAATTCAAGTCCTTCAGGTGTAGGAAGTATTCCTTAGACAACATAAAATAATAAAAGGAATGAGAGCATTTAAATTTTAATTTTAGCCCTAAAATGAGGGACGAATTTTGGGATGTGCCTTCAAATATTATTAGAAGTCATCCATACAGTACTTCTGAATTATTTTACAATCAAGTTAAGCAGTTAATGTACTGCTTGGAACACAGAAAAACTGTAAGAAACAGATATTCAGCCATTAACTATCATAGTATCAGGAATGCCACCTAAAATCTGCAGAATCTTCAATCCCTAGCAGCCTTCTGGAAGCACACCACCCTGAACACAATCATTAAATCCAGCTGGACTAGCGCACCAATTCAGCCTGTTATTTCTGCTCTGGAATATTCTGGATCATCATGTATTGAGCATTGGTTTATGCAAAATAGTATAGATTCCTACAAACCCAGAATATGCATCTTCATTCAAGTTATCATTTATTAAACAACAGGTACTGAAATTCCATTTACTAACTTTGCATTTGCTTCATAACTTCATGTATGCTATAGTACTATTAAAAAATTAGAAGTAACCAACCTCCTCTGCCCAAGAGAGGAAAAAACAAGACAGACACACACATGCCCATGCTTCTTCATGGGCAGAATTTTTTCCATCCAATAATAAATTCTGAAGACATTAAGTTGATCTTATTTTCCAAAGAACTCCCTGAGCTGCCAGCTGTTCTATAAGTAATAAAGCTCCATGAGCACTTTGCAATATAGGGAAATACCATAGTCTATTACACATCACAAAACAGAAAGGATGGTGCCCAATATTTTTTTTTAAACTGGTTGGGAGGTGACAGGGACAGGACAGGAACACTTCAATCACTTATACTGGATATCCAAGTTAAAATGTACAACTACTGCATCACTATGCTGTTCCTGTGCTCTGCCTAAGCATTAGAGGAAGAAAAAACCCTACTGATTTACAGTTAACAAAGCTTTAAAAATATCTGTTTCATTCACAATTCATACCCATAAAATAAGCTGAATCACTGACTGGTTGAGAAAAAGATAAAAGAACAAATGTGCAATTTTGGCCAGGTTTGGTCATAGAGCAGCACATTTTATATCCATAAAGAAAAGATAAATGAAACAAGAAGAAAAGGAGCTGGCAAGGAAAAAAAACACACCAAAACCCTATAATTCTGTACAATTTTTGCAGTTGCTATTAAACTACGTAATATTCAGGAAATAAAAGATATCTTCATCCATTTTAACATCTACCTAAAACAGGTGTCTGTATACCCCTTCAGAGCATGCACAGTAAGATTCAGTTGTACCTTCATCTCATTCTAAGTAAAATTCTAGCTGCATGACTAGCTTACCTTGTAGAACTGTATAATGTCATCCTTGGTCAGGGTCTTTAGATAAGCCACTTCAATGTTATCTGCACAACAATAGTACAAATTAGAAAGTCTGCAGATCACAGCTGGTTATTAGCACACTGCTTATACAAAGTATACTTCTTTCAAATTCAGACGCTGTAATTGACTGCAAATGAAAAGCTTTTCATTGTTATCTTCCAAGTTAATACTTGCTTCACTAAGTCTACTTGATTGGACTTACCAAAAAATGCATGCTTGAAGAATACTGATTGCACTGTCAGATATTCAGTAGCTAAAATAGATATGCCTACTCTTGTATATTATCTTCAAATCAGTTACACATTTTTAATGAAAATTGGTTATAGATGGCTTTTATTCACAGGCAACAGGATGGTAGGAGATACTTTTACAGAAATGTTAAGGAATGGTGCCTACATACTCCTTTAAGTAGTCACACCTTTAAGATATCTGGGGACAACTGTTTCAGTTGCTACATTCCTTCATATTAATTAAACTGTCATGGACTAATCACCTAGTATCATTGTTGCTTAAGCAGAAATGTTTCTTGTAGGCGTGCTTGCTTTTCTAACGATTAGCAAGAAGATCAAGGAAGAAACGCGTGCAAGAGAACAGGCAACAAGCAAGACTAATGCAGGCTATAAGTAATATGAAGTTCTGTATGGAGGAAATTAAAAAATCAACAATACAGTTTGCAAAACTAGGTAAGACTTGGGAGCAAACAGTAAAAGTAGTACCATTAAAAATGTGCAAACAAAAAAATCCTTCCACTTCTTAAGGCTTGAAAATGAATTTCTGATTTTGACAATTCTCAAATCATTAATGATATAAAATTACTAGTGGGCAGAGGGGAATTAAAGATATAGAAGTCAAGGGAAATAAGTGGGATTTAGATATAAAAAATATGGCTACACTTAGCAGTAAAACATTCCAGAGAGATAATATTGATCCAATTGTGGTATAAACAGAAACACTTAATGCAGAGAAAGATCAGACTATTTCATCAGACACAAAAAAAAAGTTCTTGAAGTGGTAAGTTTCCATGCCACTTCCTATGCTCAGGCATGAAACCCTGTCAATAGCTCTTCTTTTCTCTAGACCAAGCTAGATGACAAGTCAAAACTCTTCATTATTAAACAGCTCAGTGAGTCATCATGAAGGAAAAAGACTGTCATTGCTATAATGGAAAGCCAATACGGTGCACACAAAGCAGAAGAGAAGTCACAGAATACAAAATGAGTTTTATGGAGGAAGCATATTATGCATGAAGACGGAAAATTACAGCTGTAAGAGTCGAGACATGAAAATGTCAGGAAAAACTGATCTGTACCTAAACTAAAAATTTTATTTTTTTTTTAATGTTAGAAACTGTATTACTAATGTATCTCAGTATATTTTTTAAAAAATTAAAATACATTTTTAAAGTATTTTAAAAAATACAATTTAAATATTATGTAGGACCACATAGTAAATAATTGTCAGTCCACTTTCAGTAATAACAGTAGAAGCTGAATCTCGTTTGTTTCTACAAACCTATAACCTTCAAAGCATCATAGATGAAAAACAAAAAAAAATTAGTGTTTCTTCAAATCCACTCTAAGCTGATACAGACTGCAAATTAGGTAAGATACCTGCTATTGCCTCTGCCAGCACTCCCTCAAAACAACTACACAATGCAAAGAGAAACAGGGTTCATATGAATGTGTGTACTCAGGAATGGCAATGTGTATCTGACTGCATCTCAGGGAGATAGACAGTAAATTATGTATAGGCTATGTGAAAGTTTAAGTTGTTCCCAAATGAATACGACACTCAACAGTCACAAATGCAGCCAACCTAGAGCATTCAGTTTTAAAGGAATTACCATTTGTCTTACCTCTGTCAAAGTTATACTGCTGGGAAATGATTTCTCCCCAGTATTTAGCACATTCTGCAGACAGCTTCTTTGGTTTGTCTAGACGACGAATTGCTAAAGCTTGGATGTGTTTTTGGAAGGCCTCTTCTGTCATGTCTTCTATGCATTTCTCCATAGTTTTTAAGAACGCTTCAACTCTGCTCTCTAAATAGTGTGGCGGCTTTTCAGATTGGATAATAAATCGCAGTCCTTGGATGCCATTTGCCCGACGTGGGCCACTGAACACAATGTAACCTTGGCAAAACAAGAACAGCCACAAATTAAAAGAAACCCTTTGTCACAGCACTGAATTTGCCAAATGTGGCATGTTTTAATTCTGTGTTATAAATAAAATAATGCAGGTTTTCAAAATGTGCCACTGTATTTTTTTATAACATCTTTATTACACTGAGGTCAGTATCAGTTTAGGGGAGGAGCAAGAAGATGAGGAAGACAAAACAAAAGTAATTCTGTCATCAGGATCAGGTTACCAGAAATGAAGTTGTACTCTCGTGCTTCATTAGACTCAACATTAGAAACTTATTATTTTTTCATAATGTCTAATCTGAATTCTTTTTGCTGCAATGTAAGATCACTACTTCCCATTTCATCAGTTAGATAAAAAGTATTACTCCCTTTTTGTTGCAGGGCCTTCTAATCTGAACAACTAATCCTTTCTTCCATTTTCCTCCATCCTTTTAATAATAAATCTATCACATTTCAGTTTTTGAAATGTTGTTTTATAGTTTTCTTATAGTTTCCTGATGCTCATGTCCAAACTGGTTACAGTATTTCAGAATTTTTTTCTGAAAATTTAGGAATGTTTAGTTTACTGTATCTTGAATGCTTCCATTTATATATCCCAGCATTTTACACAGCAGCATGACACTGCTGATGTATATCCTACTTCTGATCCACTGTACCCTGCAGAGTTTTCTACAAAATTGCTACCTAGCCAGTTGCTTCCCGGCTTGTATCTGTGCCATTGGTTGTTCCTGCCAAACTGTTCCTAACAAATTGCATCTTATCTTCATTCAAGTCGTGTTTCCAAAATGTCAAACTAATTTTAAATTCTAACTCTATCTTCCCACACACTTGCAGCCTCTCCCAAATTAGTATTATCTGAAGATTCAGTGACTATCCTCACTCTTCTATCATCCAGGATTTACCATGAATATACCATGGAACATTGGATCACAGGAGAGCTCTGTAGAACACCATTTTCCAAATGAACTATTCTCTATTCTCCAGACATGGCCTTCAAAAGTCCTGTACCCAAATGTGTAGTTCTTCCACCTAGGTACTTCAGTAACAGTCTGAGTTACTTTCTATGAATTTAGAACCAGGATGAAAATTTATTCTGTGTTTTCCTGGAATTAGAATTAAACTGACTGATCCACAATTTCCCTGCTTCTTCTTTTTCCTTTGTTTTCTAAGGAAACATGCAGCATTCAGCTGTGTCTATCCTTCCAGTACCTTATCATCCACAAATTTTCTATTATAAGACTTCTAATTGCAGGATTTTCTAATTTCATTATTTGGAAAAGGACGCAGAGTTCGCCACACTTTGAACTTTTTAAAAGCTTGTAATTTAATCTGATTAATCTGTTATTGTCCTGTTCAAAGGTAAGACATGAACTTTGATCACCAGTGTTTATTTTGAAAGTCATCTGGCCATAGCTGACATTTTAAGTGAAAACTAAGTAAGCCATCCTGAATTTTCTGATGAACATTCTGATTTTAAAGATTTGAACACTTTGATTTTTCCCCATCATTTCCCACTTTTCTCCTCCAGTTTCTCATACTGCTTAACCAATTATTGAAACAATTCTTGTTGTACTACTTGTACTACTTCTACTGTTTAGCAAACTTCTAATTCTTGAACTTCTTTTTCCCTAAGCTTTCTCAGAAATCTTACTAACAATTTCATGAAGTTTACTGGATTTTGATGGTATTTCTACAGTCTCCCCCATCCTAAGTCTTATGAGCTCTATTATTTGGCAATCATGAACTGCTGGACTAAACCAGTTCTTCCTCAGTTCCTCTCTTTCTCTTCAGCTGTTACTCCCAACTCCTATACAAAACCTGCCACCAGCACATTTCAAAAACCTGTTAAATAACCTGGGTTCTAGCCTATTTTCAGCAGGTGTACACACAGTTGAAATTCCTACGATGAATATTGTATGGCTGGTTCTGCCAGTTGCTCACGAAAAGCCTAATCTTGCCTGACATCCCTGGCAGTCATCACACTGAAATACTTGTCTGCTTCTCACCTTTGGAAAACCTTTACTTCTCCTCACCAGTATTTCAATCATGTGAGCTGTCACGCAAAGTCTCTGTCTCTCCTTCTTAGTCTGTTTGGAATAACCTTACCAGTTCTCAGCCTTACTGGTTCAGGTAACAATTATTTGTACTTACTGGTGAACAGCTATAGTCTTAAAAAGTCTGAAGTGTATTTAGGTGTTCACAAACATGGTAGCTTACCATTACCCACACAGCAGTATTTCTAAGACAGGGTTTATAATTTTAACAGTTGGACTCAGAGGTCTTTTGACAACCTAAGTGATTCTATGAATCATGAAGTGCACCCAGAAGTAGGATCAAAAGCAGGAAACATCAAACTACTACTGATTCTTTAGGAAGATCTAGAAATTTAGGGAACTGATCCAATTTCCTTTTGGTAAATTCTAATATGAAGTTTTCTGTAGAGTAATAGCACTTTTTTGAGTTGGAGTTGATTTCAGATATCTTAAAAATCATGCCTGCTTGTTCTTATTTTAGATTCTGTGCACAGTAAAATTTCTTTGAGTCATCAGCAGTTAAGATGATTTACAATTATCAAATGCCCTTTAAATGGCATTCACTAAAAAGGGAGAGAACACCTCCTCATGTCTTGTGTGAGCGCGTGACCATGACAGCTCGCGTGTACACAGACACAACCACTCCTGAGATCTCACCTAGCTGCTCCTGGGTACGCAGGGTATTGAAGCATGGCTCCGAGATAATCTGGCAAAAGAGCTCCAAAAACATATTCTCAGAAGTGCTCTGCATGTCTGTCTGGTAATATATTTCAATGCCACAGTTGTTATGAACTTCATTTCTCTGTTGATATACAAACCAACCTCCTAAAAGACAAAGTTAAAACACTTGAAATTTAAATTTAAAATAAAATAAAATTTAAAATAAAATTTAAAAGTAAGTTCATTTTTAAGACTTTCTTACTGTCCACAATTAAAACAATAATGGCCTAAGGTTTGTGAAATGGAATTATAAGTGGTTTAGTACTGTTAAAGCAAAATTCCCACTAAGAGCATACTTTTCATGAGACAAGAAAAGAATGTATTATTTTACCATCAAAATGTTGCCACTTGGAAATATCAGCAACTAAATTGAAACTGGCTGCTTCTCTTCAAGCAAGCATTTTTTGGAACTGCAGTGAAATTCTGCATTGCCTCTACTGTGTAAACAGTTTCTAAAGACAATCTGCCAGAAATTATTATGAATATTAAAAATAATTCAGCACTGAATACCAACAACTTCTTTTGTACATGGTAGCTTCCACAGACAATCAGCTATGGGTAATTTATCTTGTCTGTATAGCTACATATGTCACCACTCCACGCAATACCTTGAACCTCCTTTCTTTTTTTTAGTTTTTTTTCTAGTTTTTTCACCATGGAAGTAAAAGCATATAAGCACTACAAGACCAAAAGAATTTGTATAAGAAAAAAAAAGTTATTTGTGTAAGAGTTTTTCGTTTTTCTAAAGAGTTATTACATGCAATTCTTAATGGTCAATTAATACTCAGAAATGCTCAAAGAATGGTGTTTATTCAAATGTATATACTATGTGTAGCAGAGAGTGGGACAGAGCTCTTATTTCCAAAAATTATAACAAGTTACTTAGAACTGAAGTGCAGAGTTGTATGATCATAAAAAGGCTTTGGGTTGGCAGTCGCCAAAAGATCATCCAAGTCATCCCAAGAAGTCCAATTTACACACACAAATTCAAAAGGACATCAAATTAATTGTCAAGTATCCTAGAAAGATCATGTATTAGTACATCATTTTATTACTAAAACCACACCCTGTTTTTCTGAATTTTAAGTTTAAAATAATTTGAAGTAAGTTTGACTCCAAAACACACTCCTTGCAACACAGTAATATGCATTTTAAAATGCTGTTAACTAAGAGAACCTCAATTTAATGTGCCTTAGATATCATAAATAAATAATTTGACTTACTGTCAGGAAGTTGCACTTCTCTGTACCTCACTAGCTGACTGGGAAGGAGTGGCTTTGTATGAGCATGCTCAATGAGAGTGTCCTCAACCATCTGTGTAATTCCTAATGCAGCCTGGAAAAAAAAAAAAACGTAAGAGGATCTTATGTTTATTATTTAACAATAATAATTTATTTAATGATCGCTAGTTACTCAGTATTTAACAGCAGCATAAGACTTCCCAATTATTGATGGTGCCATGAGAGAAAAGGAAAAAAACAGAAATAAAAAGTAAGGATATTGTAATTCAATACAAATACAGTAAAAGTAGATGAGAGGAAGTGGGAATGTGGAGAGCAAGAAGTTTTTTTGTGTCTTCTTGATGTTTAAATTGTCTGCATGTTTAACTACTACATGTTTTACTACTTCTCCCCAGCACTTCTGAAATTAAAGCTCAATGGGCTTTTTTTTCCTTTCACCTTCCCCCCAACACTTGATGTGCTCATCTTTCAAAGTGAAAATGAGATACCTCAAACGTATGTCTGGCAAAGCAAATGGCATTTCAGTAGATGATAATTTTCAGAAAACAAAAATGGTTAAGGTCAAGGATGAATTTCATTAATGTGTTGGTAGTGTTAAGACTCAGTTCCCAAATACTTTCTTTTCTTTGATGGATTAGAGTAATAATTAAAAAATATATAAAGAATGAAAAAAAATCAAAAGTCATTACTTTCACTCAAGGATTTAACCTCAATATTTAAGCTCAATAGCTTCATCTCTTAAAGGTTACGTGTTCTTGTAGCCTGCACACTGGAAATTACAGGAACTTGCTACAAAGTAGTTTTGGCTGAAAGCTAAGATCTCTCACTCTGCACTGCTATAAACTCACCACACAAGTTATTTTATCAAAAACATGCAAAAGGTTTGAAAACTTAAGAAACATGCACATGCTACCAACACCTCCCAAACCCCCATGAAGTATCAAAGACAAAAAGACTGAGGTCTAAAAACAACAGTTTAAAAAGCTAGAGAAAAAGACTATTTATTCTTTCAGTCAAGTCATCATATTACAATATTGACAAGAGTGCTTCAGACAGATGTTCTGAACAGGATTACTTCACTTTTCATCCACTTACAGCAAATAAATAAAAGAAATTGTCAAAAAAACTTAAGTATCAGAATGAAATTAAAGAAAAACATAGCATTTTCAAGCAGCTAGATAAATCTGATTTAAAGTCCAGATTCACTGAAATTTTTTTTTCATGATTGAAAGGTAACACAAGACAATGTAAATTTTGATTTAATTTTAAATGGAAAAAATTTGTAGGTCCAGGTTAAAACTGCTGTGTTTTATCAGTGATTACCACATCATGGGTAGTTGAAAGACTGATGACTTTTTCTACTTGCGTCTATTCAAGGAGGTTTGCAGATAATTTCTAAACATTATACAGCTATGGGTGTACAAGGACATCCTTCCCAGTTCTTTAGCTGTGGGACTTTCAACAGTCACTCATTATGCCAAGTAAAGAACACACCTGTCTGACACAACAGCATCATCATGGAAATCTAGAAAAATCTGCACATTCAGTTCTATTTCCAGCAGCAACTGACTTTCGTATACAAACACGGGAAGAAGTGAGGAAGGAAAAAGAGACTATTTTTAAATTTCTCTGCAAGAAGAACATAACATTTTTAACAAATACTTTAGAGACATTCTTGACGAAGAAAAGTTTGTGTCTCCATCCTATTAGCTCCTTCCCATCTTGTTTTTCCTTACAAGTTAACTTTCTCCTCCATACATTCAGCAGTCACTAGCAGTGTCTATAACAGCTGCTGCTAGTAAACTACCCCAGAACTGTTCTAACACAAAATATTGTAAACAAGCCTTATAAAAAAGGAATGCAGAAACATACAAGAAAAATACTATCGTTTGTATTGGTACATATATTCAAGTATTTCTTAAGATTTTGTATCCAAATACAAACTGTTACTATTTTAATGGAAGACAAAAGAAACATTTTTCTGAGTTTTACTCCCCTCAGAGCTAACAGTTGGCTTTTTATGGTTCACCATTCCTGTTTAGCTATGTACAAACTACTTAATTTGGAAGGATACTGGATTCTTAATTCCTTGCTAGTTATTCTGAAAGTTTTCAATGGAAAAAAGCAAGGTCTGCAGCACATCATTTCTTCTGCAGCTTAATCACAGTAATGACATACAACATAGACTTTCAAATACTTAGATCCTAAATTGTTTTTATTAAATTTCCAAGAACAATATAGAGGCAGCACTTAGCCTAATAAAGTGGAAAAAATTACACTCTCATACTCCCAAGATAAAAGAAGTACATAGTTAAATTATGAAATCACATTCGGCAAAACTGTTTCAAGATCTGCAAAAATTAAACTAGTGTTCCATTTTTATGCTGCTTTTAAATAAAAAATGTTTTATTAACAACAGACCAACCTGTTTTGTTATATTGCCATGGAGAAGAGCTTCGATGTGTAACCGTGACAACAGCTGTGCTATGAAGGCCTTGAGACGGGGAAGGGTGACATCTACAATAGATATTTAGACAGTTAAATCACTCAAATGCATTTTTAAATTATGAAGGACCTAAGCCTAAGTCATCATTAGATACAGTGCATTTCTAAGAGGAGGAGAAATTTGTCATTATGAAGAAGTGAATCTCTCCTTAAAAATGCAACATTGGAATTCTTCCAGGTCTAAATAGCAGCACTCATCATATAGCTTATTTCACTTAGAATTCACATGCTGTCTTGACCCAGATTCAAAAAAAAAAAAAAAAAATAAGCTGCCTTTCCAATCATGCTGAACAAACACTCATTCTCTAGAGAAAACACTTGCAATCATTCAGGTGGTGTTCCAAGGAAAAGCCTTAGCTATATACTAAACAAGCAGCATGTAGTTTATAATGCTCAAGACACTGTGCATTTACCATCCAGACTAAAAGAAGAACCTCAACTCAAATATAGTGTTTTGATACTAACTTTGGAACAAATGATACACAAAAACAATATTTTGGCAATATATCCTAGAGGACACATGCACAACACACACACACACATTCTATTCAGCCTGTCCTTGCAAAGCAGTTTTCATATACAGTGCAAAATATACTGTAACATATAGAATCAATGGAAGATGGCTTGATGGGGTGTTCATGGATATGTGCTCTGAATCAAACCCCTCAAATAAATACAAAAGCCAGGTATTATTCTTGAAAAGAATGTTGGTGTATTCCAAGAAGCTATTACATGACATTAACTGTCCCAGCAACAGACTTTCAATACAACACAGTAAAATACAAGTAGGGAAGAGTCTTTCAGCTATTACTCTATTACTACAAACATAGAATTACCACAGAATGGCTTGGGTTGAAAGGGACCTTAAAGATCACCTAGTTCCAACATCCCTGCCATGGGCAGGGACACCTTCCACTAGGCTGGCTGCTCAGAACCCCACTCCATCTGGACTTGAAAAATCACTTAAATCTCTTCAATTTCTTCTTCATTCAAATATACTGGGGCAACTACTTTGTGCTAAGAGCCAAAATGTTCTTTATTATTGTTGTCATTATCTACAGAAAGTCCATCTTTCTTCTTTATTAGATACAGTTCTTTACTATCTACAGAAATATAAGCTAAGATTCCCCAATAACAGAAGAAACAAAATAGTTTGCACATTGAGAAGTACAATGCAGATACACTCCACTGGGCCTCTAAGATGTCAACTAGAGCCAAATGATTTTACCAGTGTTGATTAAGTATTGGATTCACCATATCCATGTTCATATATCCCCACAGTTAGTAAAGTTTTGCCTGAACTTTTACCTGCAAGTTTTGCCATTTGAGGCTTTTTCCATGAACTACTCTACTTTATTGAAACTAGAGGGCAAGTGCAGCATGACCAGCATCAGCTCAGGCCTGGCACTGCAGGAGCTTCCCTTGAATAGTGAGTAGAGTTCAAAACAGGTATCCTCAATAGTTAAGTAACATAAGAAAAAAAATAATAAAGTGGCAGAACATTACCATCTAGAGCTTCTTTTAATTCATCTTTGGTCCAAGCAACTTCTGTCATCAGGAGTCGGAGATAATACATTGCATGCTGGTGAGGCTGTTCAGCCCTGAAGTTGTTAAGTGATCTCATGTACTAAACAAAATAATCAGGTTCAAGTTAGAAATTTAGAAACAGAGTTCTAAACATATTAACATTGTACTCTCAACTTTGTATCAAAAAGATACAGTTCAGATACTGAGAACACTCTCGTGCTTGTTAGGACTCTTAAAAAAATTGTGCTACAAGACTTCAGTAATAATGTGGGTTTCTGAGCCTTGGATTAAGCAGAAACCGTTAAGATGACTGAAATGTGCACGAAATCAAACCTGTCCACAAAATTAATGCCTAGAAAAGAAATTATTGCAGTTAAACAAGAATTTGGATCAAGTTGCTCTACCAGGAAATCTGCATTCTATGATGACTAACCAGGGGTGAGGGAAAACTGCTAATAGAAAATGTATTTTTCTCCCTGTTGCCTCCTTTGGCTGACTTGGTGAGACAAAATCTGGAGCATCTGGAAAACTCTCTGCATGTTTTGCATGGATAAAGGAGGTATGAAAGAAGAATCAAAGAGCTTCTTCAAAAAAACTACTTTCTAGTCCAGCTGCCCTTTTACAAAATAAGCAAAACCTTTTTCCTCTACCAGAGAAACTGGAAAGTGCAAACTAATAGTTTTGGCAAGCTGGAAGCACTTCCAGTGCAGGAAAAAAGTAACTCATTTCAGGGCACATGACTGACTAACAGCAAGGCTCAGGTTGCTGAGGATGTATCCTTCTGTCTGCTCCAACAGAAGCCAGAAGTTGGGATCTCCCTTATGTGTTTGGCATAGACATGGGGAGAAAACTGCACTCTCCAGCTGATATAACTTCTAGAATTCAGCATGTACTAAACCAGGTGGTTACCTTTGCACCAAAGGGTCACAGCCCAGAAGCCAAGACAAATCTGGGGAAAAGAAATGTTGCAAATATTTTCAACACTTCCTTTCCCCCTTCATCCATTTCCCACTTATTTTATGGCTAGGTCCTACTGAAGCCTTTCCAAATTGCAAAACAGGATATAAAGTTAAGATATTCCCCTCCATCCCCCTACTTAGATTTCTACTCCTACCAAAGCAAGCTGTGCTTCCTTGATACATAAGAAAGACTGACTAAAAAAAGATTCCAGGACCAGTTACTTTTAACCAAAGAATGTTATATACACAACTCTGAGAAACTCAGCCACAAAAAAGAAAAAAAGTATCTGAAGTGCCACTAATGCAAAATTTCACTCTATTTCCATGGATAGTCAGCCCTCAGATCTATCAGGTCAATGAATTCAAGTTTCAATTACTCCAAAATGTGAATTTCTCATGCAGCTTACCGCTTCCTTGATAATTTCAAATCGCTTTTCATCGATCTCAAAAGTAGCCATTTTCTCAATGATCTTCTTGAGCAAGATATGTTGCTTGTCATTATAACCTTTTACGGAGAGCTATGGAAAAAGCGCATAAGTTGCTTTAAATGTGGAAGATAAAAGAATAAAACCATTACCAAGTCTTGTACAATTCAATCAATGAGCAATGCACTTTTCAATACTTACGCTAAATTCACCATTACGGAACATTTAATCATTCTTAAGTTAAATTCCTTTCCCCATCAAAAGGTAACTAACAGACAGGGATAGTATTGTGTGCACAGGAGTTCTAAATGCACACAATTAATGTAATTTCATGTTGGTGTAAGTATACTGTATTCAGAATACAGATTTCTAATAATTACAGTAGTGAGTCTTGGAGTACTGAAATTGTTTTCATCTAGGTTTCTCGCTTTAGTAATGAAGTCTGGATTCACAACCTTCTAAAATACTCTCTCCAATTTACTTTTACCCTTGGTTCACATCTATGTTGTTGATCAAAGAATATTTAAGTGGAAGTAAGCAATACCATAAAAAAAGGGTGCTATAAACAGCAGCACTTTATAATCGGGATGCTGCTGAGGTGAAATATCAAGGTAGTCATCCTGGAATTGTAATGATATCTTGATCAGATCATACATATTTTTGAGAGTATAACTGAAATGCTCATTTAAAAAATAACATAAAACTTAGAAAATACCGTATGATTTCATCAAGCTACAGAAAATTTCTCTGGCAAAAAACGGCATTAAAAAGCCTTTTTTTTTGTCGGGAAAAACTTCAAAATTTGGTATCTCGAACCAGGAATTTGAATGGATTTGTGCAGTTTAATTAGGAGTAAAACTAAACTTTAGAACACAAGCCAACACACAGAATTCCTGCTTTTCAGGAGGAAGAATTTTTTTGTTCTGTAGTTGCTGAAACACAGCTGAACAATGAATTTGAAGAAAAAGTCATCATAAATGGATTTATGACAAAGGCTAGTATCCTAAATTAGCATAGGAACACAAAGTGTTCAACAACCAGCAAGGATGACTTCTCAGAGTAGCACCTGCCCTTGCTCAAAGCACCAATATAGTCATTAGTAAGTCACATTTATTAATTATAAAACTTCTAACAATATGGAAAGTAATATTACAATTTCCCAAATAATATTTAAAATAATTGTGACTAAAAAGGAAGAAAGTTACAAACTTTTTTTTTTTTAAAGGAATTAACCCTGATCATAGAAACATCAGCAAGCTTTGAAACTGAGGACAAGGGTGTTTGCACAGTAAGTCACGTGAATGCAACCCGGAAATCAGATTTGTGTTGGATTGAAAAAAAAAATGCAGCACTCTCTCATATAGAAAATGTAAAGACAATATACAGTACATTCTTCTACTAAAATGCTTTGGAAAATAGCACTTCTAGAGGAAATTTCAAAACACACTCTCATATAAGGGTGGTTAACAAAAGCTTTTAACCAAACTCCAAGAGAGACTACTAAAATCTCCTGTCATAAATCTCATAGGAGAAGCTGAATGAGAAATAAGCATTTATCAAAATACCAGTATTTATCAAGTATTGTCAGCCCTTTGTAGCAATTACAAAACATGTGATAAAAACAAAACAAAAAGCCATAAATATCCAGCATTGCATTCTAACAAACACATGCACAATCCATCTCCACAGCTCACTACAGCAGAATTAGAGAATTATAACAAAATCTGTAAAGTTGGGGATTCATTCAACAGAAAAGTTAATCTTTTTATACAGAAACCAGCAATAGTACTTTCCAGATTATCATGCAAGCAAGTAAAAATGTGAACCAGAATGCAACAATTGCACTGCACACAAGTTCACAAGACACTGCACTCTTAAACAGGTCACTCAGTACTGATTAAAATACAGTCTTGCATTGCCTTTAATTCATGAGATATATGCAAAGGAAAAAAACATTAACCATCTCATTTAGAAATGCAGAAGTCAAATGTTTTCTCCAAGCTCAACAACTCCCAAGCTGTTTCATTTCCTCCTGTGTTCTTTTCTTACTTACAAGTATTGCATTCATTCCTGATGCAATGCCATAGACCAAACCTGAGAGGCGTGCTGCATATGTATACTCTTTTAAATCATCCTTCAATAACCTGATAAACAGGTATGTCATGTTGCAATGGAGAGGATCAGCATAAATGTAGCGACTAACAAAAAGAAAAACAAAAGAAATGCTTTGATACCTCAGGCAGTGACAAGGTAATGGATGAAGAAACATGACTGAAGAGTATGTATATGCAGCCTCATGATCAGTAGTTCTTGAACAGGAAAGCAGAAGTATACTATTTATTTAATAGCATGAAAAGGGGATCTTTTACCCCATCAGTCAGAAAGCTTTTAGTAGGTATCTGACCAATAAATATGTAAGCTTGGATTAGGGTTGCGGTTTTTTAATGGAGGAAAAAATCTTACAAACTAATTAATTTCATGAAAGATACAAAAATAAAGAAGAAAATTTGCTTGATGTGAACTAAAAGACTGTTGAAGACTTTTAACAAAATTCAACTTAAAGTTCAAATCAAAGAAAGGATGGCTAATAACCAAGATCAAAAGGACTAACAGCCTTTATTTTTTATTTAAAAGTCCTTCCATCAAATCAATATAAAAATGTTGATGAGTGGAAGTAGTTTTAAGGCTCTAAGCTTTTGCTTGATTTGGGTACTTACATACATCCCATAGATGGTATTTTGGAGATCATAGTTCAAGCCAGCTAGTTCTGCTGCATATGCATACTCGTTGAGGGAGTCTTTGAGTAGTTCAAGGTACAAATAGGCCATGTTACAATGCAAGGGATCCACGTAAGCAAATGGGCTGGAAGAAAATGTTGAAAGTAAAATATGCAGTTTAAAATTGTTTATCTCTTTCTTTTGGCCTTTCAAGTCTGATCTGAAGGAAACAGTATTTTCTGTGTTTTTATGCTGATGGATCCCATTCTGAAGGACTCCTATTTCAAAGCCAAATATGAACACATCTGAAAAGAGTTACTTAGCTTGCATATGGCATAATGACTAAATATACTCAAGATTCCAGAGATATTCTATTTGTGCTCATAAATCAAGACATGCTTTATTTACTTGGCTGCATAGTCAGAATTCACCAGGAGCAAAAGAAACTATATATACCAACATAATTTAATAGACCAAAATGAAGTCCATGTACTGAACATTAAATTAATTAATACTCATACTTTACCAGTTTCTATTACAAAAATTAGGAGACCAACAATCTGTGGTATGACAAGATGCAGTACATGCCACGGTCAGGTCAGGAGAGAAGTCTGGCATATCCATTTTCTTACTACTGTAATTTTTTGTGTTATTTTATCCAGTTATTTTTGTAAAGGCAACAACTCTCCAAAACCTACTGTTGCATTAGGAGCACATGTTCACACACAACACCGTTGCAAATTTTTCAAAAAGAGCAATGCAACTCAAAGACTCAAGCTATGTTTCAACCATGCTAATTGTTGAATACCTTTATGTTTTAAAGATTTCAAAAGGCAAGTTATTTGTACTATATGTATTGCTAAACTCTGAAGCGCATGTAAATTCATTACCAATTTCACAGAAATGATCAGCAGTATCTGAAGCATTTCCTGTCAGGATCTGGCTTACAATTCAAACCTGACTTTTTCCTGAAGCAGTCAGATGTTCAGGCTATTACATATGTTTACACCTACACTGCAGGGTATTTCACTGTGTATCAACATTAATGTAGTAAAACATGACCACAACACACAAACTGATAACTGAAACACATTGCAAAGATATTTTTAAGAAGGCTCCTTGTAGCTTTTAACTTCTCCTTCCTTTTAGATTAAGAAAAGGATACACAGGAAGATGTTTTAATAAACTAAATTAATAATTTCAAATATATATATGTTTGAGAAGCAGAGCCTGCTATAGTCTGAAATCTTAGCCCTGATAAAACAAACAGGTCAGTAAAAAAGACAAAAGAAATGGTATTTGCATTTCTCCCTGCAATGAGAATTTCCCTAAACTGAGCTATTTCAACATGCCAAATGATATAAATCAAATTACTATTGCATTTTTTAATTAAGACCAAATTCAAAGCCAGATGTAGGTCAATCCTATAAACCTTCCTCCAGACTCATTATATTCTTTCCCACTTTGATACTAGAATACAGACTTAATCAGTTTGAGTGATTACTATGTCTGTATCAGTTTTAAATTCTGTACTCTAACTTCGCTGGAAAAGGCCAACTGGGAGTTTCGAAAAAGATCACAACTACCAGATCATTAATCCTTAAGTGTAAAGTAACAGAACTATTACAAAAGTGTTCTGGGAGTTGCTTCCTCTTAGTGACAGTTTTGTAAACAAATGCTTATTTCTAGTTTACCAGTTGTTTATTTTTTTAACTAGACTCAAAGAAGCAGAACAACCCAATCACAAATGGTGCATTTTAAAAAAGTTGTAATGTATTTTTTCCCCCCTTTCAAACATCTGTGACATAGCTGGAATCAACACTGAAGTCTTGAGTTGCTAACTACCTTTAAAGAATTTTCAAAGCATCACCACATTACATGGTTGTTTTACTTCCTTTTAAAAAAGGATATTTTTTGAGCTCTTAAATCACAATTTATACAAATGCAAAAGCTTATCATCCTCTTTTAGGCTGGGCAACGAGTCAGATATTTTTACTGTGATGTTTCTTTAACACAAGAATGCCTGTAAGGATTTTCAGTTTTGGAACAAGGTGATTTCAAGAGATTCATACACATATTGTTCCCGTGTGATTTGTATATTTAAGGAAGATCTCATCAACTTCCTCTTAATTTATCAACGCAGCAATTGCTGCTATTAGAATCTGGACCAGAATTATTTCTATGTTTCATGTTGATCAGGGCTGCAGCCTGAAGAAATTCTCCTAGTTTTTTTTATCACACTGAAGCAGTCTGTAGTGTGAACAAACTTCTAATCCCCTACAAGGCAGTGCACACTTCATACTCTGATCTAGAACCTAGAGAGACTCAGACTTTTTATGAACACCCCCGTCATAAGATGGCTTTATTCACCAATGCACTAGGTCCCATGAGATATGAATGATTCCATCAAGTCTCATGAATAAACACTGTATTTCAAGATTTCCTCCAATGACCATCAGCATGATCAAATAGAGACAAATTCTCCAAGAACCTTAAGTATCAAAACTAGACAAACCTGCTTACAACATCTTTTAAAGGTGATGCACCCAATATTGTCAAAATCTCCTTGCTCCTGCTTACATACAATTACCATCTCATTTTTAAGTAAAAGGAAAACCTTGCTCCCAACCCTAAGAAAAAAGCCAGCTCTCACATGGAACTGTTCCTAGGAGGAAAGAGGCAAATCATTCCATTACAGTGGTCAGCAAAACTCAAGTACTTCTGGCTCTTTATAAGGGCTCTCTGAGATGAAAGCACAAATCTAACTGAGAAATGCTATCTCCACAGATCTAGATAAGATACCCCTGCTTCTTGCAGGAGGGCTGGACTAGACCTTTAAAGGTCGCTTCCAGCACAAGTGATTCTGATATTGTATGTATTGCATACACTTATACCTTTGTGTGCTCTTCTGTCCTAATGTGACTTTATGATGCCTGTATCCCCAATTGCCTGTTCTGCTTATGCTGGATATTAAGTTCTGCACCTTAAAGACTGGTTCTGAGAGTGAAGCGGGGGAAGAAGCAGCATGCAGTTTGTCTGTAGAAACTGCACTTGCTGCCTGGCATTCCTTCTCACAGACTGTGCTGTCTGCAGCACTGACAGCGGCAGAGAGCTCTCCTTGCTTTTAGTTAGTTTTTTTTCAGTTAACTGAGGCCAGAAGGTTTTTGGAACTGCTCAGCTATTGTTTGGTCCAGGAACACCAGGACTATTGTCTGGGGGCCTCCAAGCTGCACTGCGGCCGGGACACCGGACCGGAGCCCTGGAGACACTAACAGAAAGCCCAGGACACACCCATGGAAAGTACTCTAACTGCAAGAGGACTTTCTGAATTTGCCATCTCTCCAGAACAATGAGAGGTTTCGTTATTTAATATTATTCATTTTTTCATGTTTGTGAGTACTTTGCTTGTTAAATAAGCAGTTTTTTCCACTTTCCCAAAGGAAATTTATGTCTCCCAAACTGGTGGGGGGAAAGGCTGCTTGAATTTGCTTCTGGAGGGACCACTTCAGAAGTTTCCTCCCAAAATTTGCCCTAAACCAGGACATCTACATAAACCAAATTATTATCTTTTATTCACTCACAAACTGTTAGAGACTGAACCACTTATAGTTCACCTGAATTGATTTTAAAAACCACCACAACTGTGAACTCAGTGTCCATCAGTGAAATCCTATTTTGGATTTTGGCAAACATAGTACAAGGGAAAGCCACCAAGAATAAAAAAGAAGGGAAAGCACTGCAATTGTTGTTCTCTGAATAAGAGATAGGAAGTTCCCATTTTGATCCTCCATTTCCTGACACATCAAAGTTGAAACAGTTGTAACATCTAGCCTGTGGTTTCAAAAAGCAAAAACAGAAAATGCCCAGGCAACCTATTTTCCCCAACTAGTATCAAAACCAGTATCAAGACATGATACATACTGAAAAAAACCTCCTGTATAATATCCTGCAAGAAAAATTTCAAGTGGTCTCTCAAAACAAGAATTCAACAGTGCATCTACGAGAGCCACCACAATGGCCCTTGCAGCAGTATTACCAAGTAACTTAATTAGGTAAAAGGAGAGTCCCTGAATTTTTTCTAGCTTTCAGTAGTTCAGCACAGAAACAGCTGCACTTTAAAAACAGCAGTATTTTTTTAGTTCAAAAGTTAGAAATTTATTACTTAAAATAAACATTAAGAAGGTCCATCATTGTCATGCTCACTTAAAAAAGAAAGATTATCTTCCTATGATGAAAGTCATGCAAGACCAGAATTAACATTACATCATTTTATCATACATCTTGAGGTCGGAATCAAACATGCATTGATAATCTAGACAATGCTCTTCTAAAAAAAAGGTACAATCAGTTACGGGTGTCAGTTAAGTAAAACTCCAAAATTTTAAGCACTTTTTAAACTGATTTGCATTATGCAAATGAAAATAGAATTTGAGCCTAAAACTATTATCAGAATAGCATTTCATAAAGAAAACACATCTTAAAAGAGTGATTTAGTAATTAACTTTAAAGTACACAATTATTTTTAAAGAGGGATATTGCAATATGTAGTGGGTTCTACTGGCAGGTGTATTCCAGGTATAGCAAACAAAATATAAAAGGAAATTTTTTAGAGTATTTTTAAGTAAACTTTTCCTTTTAATATAGAAAGAACACATCAAATTTCCTGCTACTCAATTACTGCAGATTTTTTAATGGGCCTTCCTGCACATAAGTCTTATTACATATTCAAAGTAAAGACAAAGATTCTAAAGTGCCAATACATGCAAAAAAGTGTTTGCCACACAAATGCAGATTCCCAATAAACAAGCAACTTTTGGAGACAACTTTATGTGATATATTTAACATTGCATACCTGAAAAATTCAAAGTTGAGACAAGCTTTTGGCAAAAAAAATTTGTCATCTTGCTTGAACCACAGTTTGCTCATAGCAGTGTCCTGTGTCAAGAGAAGATGTTTTGTTATGTGACTTCTAAGTGCAATATATGCCACTACTTTAAAAAATCTTTCCACCACTTTAAATAGCTGCTTAGAATTATCCCCTTAAATTCATACTGCTTGAATTGCTATATTCAACATATATACTAAATATAGATATATTCAATATATTAAGTATACATTCACTATATTCTGAGATCACTAAATGACACTTCTCTCACTTCTTCCATGCAATCACAGGTGTTTTCTATACACAGTTACAAAACAATAGCCCTGCCTACACCCTCGACTTACTCAACAGTGGTCAAAAAAACATGAGAGTGGCAGTCACCCTTCAGTTGAAAACAGCTCTATTGCTATTTTTATCAACTGTTGACACACTTTCAAAAGGGCAAAAAGAGTTCAAGCTGTATCTAGATTCATTTTCCTAGGAACACAAATTGTCATAATCCAAAGTTCAGCAAGAATGAACTTTCTACTGGCTTTGTAGCAAAATACTGAAGTTTTGTACTTTTTGTTTACTATACTTTGGAATATGAGATGACCTGTATTTTTAAAAACAGAGGAATTCAATTCTAATTTCCCAGAAGGTTAGGCAGCAAACAGGACAAATACTGACAGTTTACCTTGATTAGGGCAGGATACTGTGTTGCATCTTTTTCCAACGGTAAAATCTCAAAGTTTGTAGGAATAAACTCGTTCTTCATTGGAAGCTTAAATTTCCCATTCAGGTCAGCATTTTGCCATTTCTAGACCAAGAGGAGAAACAATGAAGCTATGACAATTTCTGCTTAATTAAAGCATATATGGGCTAATTTATTTTACGCTGAAACGAAAGATTTTAAAATGCATTCCACTATATTATGTATAAATATTATTAAGGTAACAGGGCAAAAGAGAAATAGATGGGAAAACAAGTTGGAGTAGGCCATCAGCAGGACGAATTGCTCTTGGAAGGAGGATGACAGATAAAAAATTTTGAAAAGTTTACAGTAGAGAGGAAGGTGGGTTTAAATCTTATATTTTCTGCTACCATGAACTGCAAATGAAGATATTAAACTAAACACTTAACCAAGAATTTTAATCAAGAACATAGATATGGTCAATTGAGCTAAAGGAAGTGTCTATGCAATGTCTGTTCAGAGCACACTCAGAAGGTCAAATTCAGCCCTAAGGTAAATTTTACAGCTATCTCTTCTTAGAAGATTAGAACAATAACAAATTTCAACAGGATTTTCCCACTTATTTTTTTGAGTTTTGGTTTTCACAATCTCATTTAACTGGCAAAACATATTTTTTTGTTGCAAAAATCAACTTCATAAACAATTACATATGACAGTTTTTAAAAATTCCTTCTTTAAGTACTAATCAGTTAATTAACATGTAATAGAGAGTTTTAAGTTTTTAAAAGTTAATGCTTACATTTTTACATAGCCACTGCATATTAGGGATCTTCTACAGAAAAAGCAGTGTAACATTCCCTGTAGTCTCAACATGGTTTATAACCATTAAAATATATCCAACCTATAGAATTAATATTTGAAATCTAAAGACTAATATAACATTCTTACTTCCTTCAACATTAAACAGACTCATTGCAAAATTTTCATGCTATGAAGAGCAGTGGATTTAAGTTCCCCCTTCAACTATATGGAAAATTAGACTAAGAATTTATCACTGACTTTATTTGCAGATGTTAGAACATTAAAAATTTTAACATGCCTTAATAACTTCATCAGAAATTGCTTCTTGTTTGTACTGTGTTCCATACCACTCCTCTGTTCGATCAGTTTTTCCTTCAAAAGACTTGGAAACTATTGCAACTCTGAAAACAAAGAGACAAAGCACTTTGGCATGAATGTGTCTGAGAAAGACTGAGACATTATTCCAAGCACTGTTTCTGCTCCATCACCAGGATACCTTTATTTCTGCTAACAGTCCATAGACAATTACAGGGTACAAGAGTATGTAGAAGTACACTGAACTACATGCTAAGGTTAACCATGAAATCAGGTTACCACAATCATTTAATGTCATGGTTTTTCTAAAGTGTTACAAGCTTTGGTTACACACAGTAGTGCTGCATGCAATTTCTATTTTTAGACTCCATTGTTGTTACAGAAAACAGTTCCTGCAGTTGTCTAGAAAACTGATGAAGCAATTACGTTTTATGTACCACCTACATGAACATCCAAATATGTGAAAATACTGATTATAGAAATTTTATTCCAGTCCTAGTGTCATAGAATCGTAGATAACCTCAAGCTGAAAGGGACTTATAAGGATCATCTCACATTCAACTCCCTGCTTCTTGCAGGACTACCTAAAACTAAACCATGTGACCAAGAGCATCATCCAGGCACAGCATGAATTAAAGAACACACGCAAAAAAGAGGAAATCCAGAATAAAGAAGATTAAAAACATACCAGTATTTTATTAGTAGCCTACATGACAGGTATCAAGAAAATTCCCTTAATTGTATTGAACAATGCACAACACCAAAGACTATTCAATCGAATAGCTAGCTTCAAGAGTAAATGGATGTTTCTAAGAAATTTGAAATGGTCAAAAAAGGTAGCACAATTACCTGCTTGCCTGGACACGGTTGAACACCTGCCTTCCCTTAGGAAGCAGCAAATTGATACCTTGTTTTACTTTTTCTTTTTGCTTTTGTTTTCCCTATTAAACTGCCTGTATGTCACTCAATCCATGAGTTTTCCAGCTTTTGTCCTTGTGATTCTCTTCCTGATCCCACTGGCAGGCAGGTGAATGAGTGGCTGTGTAGGGCTTGGCCGCTGGCTGTGATTAAACCACAACACAGGTACAAAGTTGCTAAGAGACTTAGAAAGCATTAAAATTCTTTTAAAGTCTCTTAAAGTCTCTTTAGACAAAATCTCTTAGAATTTCAGAGCAACCTGCCAGGTCTTTTTGTGCAGTAAATAAATGAGAAGAAGAAGAAAAAGAAGTAAGAGTCTTAAGTGAAAAAATTACCCTAATAAAATTCCAATAATCATATGGTTAGAGCAGCAAGACAAAGATGTTTTATGCTAGAATAGACTGTTAGAATATGTCTGTTATTCAACATCTCCTCCCCCTACTGTTCTCCAACTTACTGATGCTCAAACAGTAGTGACAATCCAAGCACCCAAGCATTTCCTGCAGGAACATACTAAAATTCAAGAGCTAAAAATAACTGTCCACTCACTGTATAGAAAACAAAACTGGATATCAACATTGTAATTCTTCAAGCAGTTCTGCTTCAAGAGATTCTCCTGCCTTCCCTTTATCCCAAATCACTACTGGAATGATTACTGACATTTTGAGCTGTCAGAAACATACCCACAACAACAGAAACAAATCAAAAGGCATTTTGTCTGCCCAAGAATTACAACTTAAGATCAAAAGGAATGAAGATCAGGACACCAAAAGAGGGGAAGAGAAGCACAGCAGGTAGAAATACTATGCCATGCAGGCATTTCAATATACTTCAATATCCATCTCTAAAGTCACCAATTATGTAACATTACTTTTGCTTTTCATTTCTCTGTTGTGCTGTATAGCACTACGAATATCCATATGTTTTAAGACAGTGTGGAAATGCACTGGGAAAGCAAGACAGGCCATCAGGTAATCTTCACTAGGACCTGCTTAAAGTATATTTAAGCTTGAACCATTCATGGATATGGAACACAACAAATTATAAATGCTATTTACTTCTGTATATACATTCTTGTACATGCAAATTGCTGTGGTCCCCAATTTCAGAAACAACTCCAGTTTCTATAATGTGATACATATTTACTAAATACTGTTTTTCACTCTCCTGAAATCTAAATTGAAGCTGTGAGAAATCCACAGGACAGTGTTACCTGGGAAGAGAATGTGTGCTTTAAATGAATGTACTTCCACAAAAGATTATCAACTATTATACTCCAGATTTACATAACAAAACTCTAGGTTCTAAAGGTAGAAAAGTAATAGACTTAGAAAACTTCATCAGTATTTGTGACATTAGTAACAAATACATCAAAGCAAATTTATTTTTATAAAGGATTGATTTTTTTTTTGGACCTAATTTAAATGTTGTCTTCCAAATTATGATATTGTCAAACAATGGAAGAAATTACTTTTATCTCATTCAAATGCATAACACAAAATGACTGAGACAAAAATAATAAAAGCCTACATTTGTTCATAAGTTCCCTTACAACCATCAGTAAAACTGATGTGAGGCAACCCATGCTACTCAAAGCCCCTCACTTATCAACCCCCTCAGAAACCAGAGAAAAGGGGAAACTACACACAGAGATGCTGCTGGGGTGCAGCACTCTGATCACTGCAGAAGCACAAGTTATTTCCTAGGGTTCAGTAAAACTAAGTTGCTACCAAAGATTTGTGGGGGGAAATAACTGAAAAAATTTGATTTTCAAAATTGTTGCTCAGATCCAATGCAATTAAAAACAAACACAAACATTTCTAGCATATTTGCCTTCATGATGAGAAGGTAACCTGCACTGCACTAAGATAACTCTGCTGAGAGTCTGTGAAATTCCAGTCGTTAGAAATTTCTCTATCAATGTTTTTGGTATTCATTTTAATTTTCTTCCCTCTAGGACAGAACTAGTGCTGCACTTCTGCTATCAATAGAGGAAAATAGCCCACTTACTATCCAAGGGAAAATGTTCTTTAGCTACTTAATCTGGTGAGTCACTATCTTCTTAAATTTTAATAAGAGCATTTATTCTGCAGATGTTGAAAGGAAAAAATGCCTTGGAAATGATAGGAAAATTACATTTTTCAGCTAAGATTGAGACACATGCCAAGTCTATTCCCTTATCTTCACAGATGGCTGGTAAAACCCAATACAGTTTGAACAAGTAAAAATGATACCTACATTTTAAAAAGTTTCTCTCTTAGGGAAATTAAGGCACTAAATGCAGCAAGTAGTGTGCAGGGGTGGGAAGAGAATATGAACACTTTCTGTTATGGGTCAGTCAAATGGAAGAACATGCATACTTCCTACCATCTGTGAGTATGAATCTTTTTAGTACTTTTTAAACTCAAAGTTTGTTAAGAAAATAATAGTTGAAAAAAATATACTTTTGAAAAAGACACTGAATGCAGTTACTACAATACAGCCATGCCAAGAGGTCCTTAGTGGAGGTGAATGAAATTATAAATAAAACCATAATAAAAAGAAAAAATTCAAATCAATGCCAACTAAACCACCTCAAGACACAATGTATGCAAGACACAAAAAGAAAAAAGAATTCAATAAAAACAGGAAAAAATTGCCAAATAACAGGCATAGTTAGCATGTGGCACTTAATAATTCTTTCATAAAAAGGGAGAACAGAAAGGTAAACATGAGCATACATATCAGTAAATGGGGGATAACCAAACAATACAGATATTTAAAGCAGATGTGCACAGGTTTATTTTTTTATTAGCATATAAAACTGCTCAAGAAAAGACAAAATAAGGGAGCAGGCTACTGAATTGGCAATTCATTTAGACACAGATGCAAATAAAAAATAACACAAAGTAACATAAAGGAATCTTTTTATTAACATCTGTAATCTTAACTCATTCTTTCATGAGAGCCCACTAAAAATAAAATCCACAATGGCTTTCTTTGAATCTTTGTAATGTACCATGAAATCCCTTTTAGCAATATTCAAAGTTTCCCCTTCCCAAGATAATGTATCCTGCCAGCAGTTTAAAATAAAAGGTACTACAAAAGTATACCCCCTGTTATGTTATACTCTATTTTGAAGAATCTTAGCTAAGTAAAAGATTTTAAAAAATTGTAGTTCATTTCCTTCTTCTTCTAATTTCACAGAATAAGTGCTTAAAATAGATCTAAAAGGAATATAGTACTATATAAAAGTTAGTACTTTCTTTCATACAAACGAAAATAGAAAAGTCTGATTAGCTCAGATCTTTAAACATCTGATGCCCTGAATAAAAAATTTAATTCCCACTGAAACTGACTTATACTTTTAAATCCAAGAAATATCAGCTTCCAGTATTATTACAGAAGCTACACGGAAGCATAATTTTAGTCTACACTGAAAAAAAAATCATCTAGAGAAGCAGGAAAAAGCAACATGACGCTTGGGAATCTAAATTTGGGCTGATGTTTTGCATTTCTTTTTGTAGTTATACTTCTTAAGAATACAAATAGTCTGAACACAGAGAGAACTAAGAAGTGAGTGTACAGTTGCTGTGGCAAATACAGCACCAACACAGTCTCAGTCCACACGTAATAATACAGTTCTCATTACTCTGACCATATACCATTCAAATTCACAGCATGCCTGCTGCTACATCATTACAGACCTCCTGCAGGCCTCATTCCATCCTCTTAAACAGCACTGCTTTGCTGATTTTGGCTGCTAGAACTGCATTTGATCAGTCTCTGGACAGTCTCTAGTTTGTATGTATTTATATTTAAGCCTTAGTGGGACAGCTGTCAGCGTAGCTGTGGGCACTTAAACTTCAGAGAAGTAACCTGCTTATTTATCTTTAAAATGTCTGCAACAAGGACAACGTATAATTTCTTCAACAGTTAACTGAAGAGGCCATAAAACCAGGTTTATTCCAGCTTAGGAAACCCTTTTTTTCTCCCAATATTTAGCACCTTTTTTATACAAAATTTTAAAATAACACATTTCTTCATCTATTAAATGACATCTATTTCTTAAGTCAGGTAAAGTGAAGAGACAACATAATTAGTCCTGAAGGAAGATGAAACATAACACACAGCATCCAAAAAGCACCAGCTAGCAGAAAGCAAGGTGAAACACACAACATTTAAAGCCCACAATTACAGAGACCCACTGAAGTTACTAATGACCAATTCTGAAACACCTATCTCCATTATCTGAAGGATCAGACTATTATTAGTTGCTTAATATACTAGAGTTCAACTTCAGTTCATATTTATTCCAGGTATGTTTCATCATAAAAAAAAAAATCTAGTTTTTATTTTAAATTAATCCACAATCCACAATTACCAAGTGTGGACAAAATGTCCATTTACCAGAAATCACTGTCTAATGGGAGAAGACTGATGTAACCCTACAAAATTATTATAGGAAGATACATACCATAGTAAGTTATCATCTTCTTTGGTTACTATTGTTTTAAGCATGCTACACCTAAATTCTGTATCTTTTTAGAGTGACTTTTTCATCTCTAATTAGATTCTTGCTCATCTTGCTCTTTTCTTGTCCGACCCCCTTTTATTTCAGCAATGGACAAAGAGGAATGCAGAACTGCAAAGTGCTGATATGGGCCTACATTACCTACAGCAAAAGAACATTTTTGCTAAGTAACTGAGAAAACCACATCACATTCTTCTAAAAACCATCAGCACTACTCTCATGCTTCTGGCCACATTCTACAGACTTGAATTTTCTCCCTCTACCAGTATTCTCTACACTTTGTCACGCTAGTAACTTTTGAATTAGGTTCATTATGGCTGTCTTATGCTGAAGTACTGACAGCTGGAAAGGATGTCAAAAGACTGGCACAGGCAACAACAGGAGTAACATAGGAAAGTGGTGAGTGGTCTGTAGCACCCAACAGCATCTGACAAGCTAAAGAATCTATGAATGTATGTACTTGTATTAATTTCCAATACCAATTTTTCATTTTTTAAGTAAGAACATGCTTTGGAAGTTCTCTGGGTAGTAACGAAGACCCAATTTATATTATGAATTAGATAATATTGACTATTTTCTTGCAGTGTTAAGAGCTACACTTCAAAGCTATGTGAAGCTGTAATAAACATCACATCTCATTAGCACCTGCAGCTTCTTTACTAAATCAGCATCAGCTGAGCTTTACCTATTGCTTGTAAGCAATCCTAAAAACCAGTTAAAAGTTTGCATTCATGTGGAATTTGGTTAGGCTTTTTATAGAGAGCAAGTAATTACACATTCTCTATGTTAATTACTAAAAACTGCTTATATGTTAGAGGTATCAAATTTTCAAGAACTTAGGTGTTAGGGTAACATGAAAATACATTCAAAATAGAGAAGTACTAAATACTTTAGGAAAGAGAACTGGAGATTTTCATTAAAGTATTGTTTGTTCAAAATATGATCTCTTGACATAGTTAAGCTTCAGTTGAAGTATCCCACACACATTACACACAGATGCACACCCACACACAAAGATAAAGGCCCTTCTTTAAAGGGCATTAATTACTATGGCAACTACTCTTGCTGATAGATATAGGCAACTCCTTATTCTATCATTGCTTGCATATGCCTAGAAACACCAGAACCTCATAACATTTGCAAACTCAGTTCATCATTCAAGTTTATCTGATTTTATCCAATAATTATTTGAAATATATCAACCTTTGAAAATAAATTAACATATATCTAACACTTTCTCATACAAAGAAATGTAGTTAAGATTTTTCAATCACATTTACTTTGGAGCTGCAAGAGACACCTAAGATTTTGTATTTCATTTTACCTGCCTGTATTTTCAGTTTACCTGCCTTCTGATAATTTGTGTTTGTGTTAAAACACAGTTTAACTTACCGAACATTTTCTGGTCTCAATTTATCCAGTACCATCTCTATTAAATCAGGCCTGAATTCTTCAAGCAAATATTCAGCAGCCAGTACTTCTTCTATAGGATAATACTAAAAAACAACGCCAAGGAATATGTAGATGAATTAAACAATACTAAGCATGAAAAAGCTATGGCTCAGTAGAGGAAACAAAAGCAAACACTTCTGGTCATTAAATCCATATTACCTCGGTAATTTCAAATCAGGAGCGTGTAGGATGTTTAAAAAGCTCTCCCAAAACTAAACAAGAGGGAGTAGCATTCTAACTGCAATCATATTTCTCAAGTATTAGGCAATTTTACATATTGTATACTTACCATTCTTCTCTCTTAGTATATTTTATGTCTCAGTATAAAAGTCACCCACCTTTAAATGGTATTTTGATTAAAGTAAAAATAATACGGTAAATGCTGACCCCTGCAGGATATTTCTCAAGATAAAAGAATATCAAGTACTCACTAGAGTGCATTTGGGGAAAACAAAACATAAATAAGCAAAATAAAACAAAGAAACAAAAAAACCTAGATTTTTTTAGGACTCTCTAATAATTCAATTATTGTTTACAATAATTTAAAGGAAATTATATTTCAATATCTAAAAGCATAAGAAAAATTTAAGCACTTTTAATGCGAACATTTTTTGTTTAGGGTCAAACTGAAACTCTCTTAAGGTACATGGCAATTTAAGATTAAAAAAAGCTAAAACTCATCTGAAAATTAGTAACGTAGTTGACAGGAAAACTTTCTTGATAAACACCTGTTTACCAAGGGAAAATTACCAGGTGACACAAGCACCAAGTAATTCGACTTTGCCATACAGGTATACTTTTTTCAACCAGAATTACTATAAAATGGCTTTCTGAATGTTATATACTATACAAAAAATTACAGTGGAATGATATCCAGAACAGAGAGTAAGTCTCTGTAAAAAGGATTCTGGAAAAGAGAAAGGGCAGTGGCGGGTGGAGATCAAGGACAATGAACCAAACCTGTGTTATTAAAAATTCAAATGTGAATGCTAAAGATTCAGAATTTGATGCTCATTTAACTACTAAAGAAGAATGAAAAATACTATTCATACTGCAAAGGAAAGCAAAAGAAAGACAGTGGGGGGAAAAAAAAGAGTCCTGATTCAATACCATGCTCTTCAGAACACTGCTGGCAACTTCCTGGCCTGATTTTTGGAGATAGCAATTGTAACCAGAAATGCTCCAACAAATAGAAGCCACTGAAAGTCTGTTTCAGAAGTCAGAAGTCCATTAGTTAGAGATTTTAGGCATTTGACAGAACAAAAGCAAGAGACAGCATGCAAAGCAGGAGCTCTTTAAATATCCATTTACATGTTTTCAGCCAAGTATAATGCTTTTTAGCAAATGGAAAGAAAATTAGAAAATTAAACATAACTTTAGACTTTACAGATTAAAGGTCTATAACCAATAACAGTAATTCCTGAAAAGAAATCAAAAATTTCTCTGACTAGATGCAGACATTAGCTATGTAATGAAGAATGGCTGCCATGTATAAAAGCTGCATAATTTCACTAGACAAAAAAAAAATTCAGCAAACACCCCTAAATCTTCCTTTAGCACAAAATGAGGGAATTTTGCAAGAACTATTAAAGACCAAGTAAAACCTACATGATGATTCTTTCAGTACCAATATGCAATCACATAAGTAAAATCAAGCACGTGTAATTTGCAATCTTAATACAAACATTTCTGCTTACTGCCATATTTCAACACTGTGAACTAAGGAACATAGTGTTTACGATCAAACATTATTTGTCAAATATTTCCCTAAAGAACAGTTAGCTACCAGACAAACACAATGGCAAGGTACATATGTCTTAAGAAACACTGAAACAGATCAAATAGCACCTCCAGTTACTGTATAATCAATTCTACCAAGTAAAGACATGTAAAATGGTAGAGTGAACAGAACTCGACTTATTGACTGCCAAAACTAAGGCCTATGCAGCATACAAGAAGTACAAAGGGCCTTCACATATGCCTGCATTTATTAAGTGGCTAATCAAACACACTGCTAAATTATTATTAGAAAAAATAACAGCCAAACAAAAACGACCCCCTCCACTTACATGCAACATTCCTCCAAGCTTTGATGTGTAACCTCGTGGTCGTTCCTTATCTTTAAATCTGAATGCCACAGCATTTAAATCCTAAAAAACAATGTATAAATTATTAAAGAGCATAAATTAAGAATTTTAAGAATATTTTAAGAATAATTACTATTTTAAGTATTTTAAGCCTATTTTAAGAATAATTACTAGCTACTTAATTCCTTTTTATAATGAAAGAAAATTAAGTACTTTTGCTGTACCCATGTTATAGCAGACAACTGTCTAACTTAAGTTTTCAGTAATACTCAAGTTGCATCAAACTCACAGGCTATTTATGATAGTTCATAACATGAAGTGTTATACAAGTCTTTTAAGTCAGATTTGACTCATCTATTTAAATTTCCTGATAATTTGAAAACACACCAGCTCTGATCCCACCAGTACACAGTGCTCCAGTGCAATGTTTGTCAGATATTAACAAACTGAAGCCTCTCTCTCTTCCTTTTCTCTTTCTTTTGTTCAGTCAGCCAAGAGTAAGTTTAGAGACAGAAAAAGTGTGTTTCTTTTTGCTGTCTCAGCCACATGAATAGAATACATCATTCTTAGGATATAATGGCAAGTGTGAGTTAAAGAGATCTAAGACTTCTAAGCCAGTGAAAAGGACAGTCCATCCTTCCATGAAACCATGCAGAGACTAATTAACAATTCAGCTGAAAGTAAACTCTGAAAGATTCTTTTCATAGTAGTTTGCCAGCTCTCTGACTCACTCCACAGTCTCAGGAGTGCTGGGGCTGAGAGAAGAGGAGCAAGGGAAAGGCACAGGGATGAGACAGAAGAATGGAATTACCTTTTCCAAACCTTATATTTGCTTACTCTCTCAGTGAAACAAATCCATGGGGACTTTCGGCAGAGGATAACAAGACCTGAGACTACTTTCACAGGTATATAGTGTCAAAATGTATGAAACAAAGCTAACCCAGCTACATAATTTCTACTTTCAGAGAAACTCCATAGCTCGGATCAAACAAAGCTGAGATAGTTTTGACCCAAGCATATGTACTGAACCAATCAGACTATATATATATATAAATAACACTGGGGTTGTTTCCCACTGACACTGAGAAGACCAGTGCTATCTAATAGGACATTTTACATTTTTGCTCTGCGCGCACAGAACTATCCAGACTTTTAAAAAGCATGAAGAGTTCAGCAGAGACTGACGTGTACTGCCAAAGTACTTCATGAAAAGCCTTTAGAAGACTTTTCAAAAAGATGAGAACAAACAACAGATTCCATGTCCTACTGCCTTTACAGTCTCAACTATACAATTTGACACATGAAAGAAGGGAGGGGTACAATTGCAGCCATTTCCATTTCCAGTTCAATGTCACTCCTCACTGTAAATGTTTTTCCCCTTCTTCAATGAAGACTAAGCAAAGTTATGTAAAATCCTTGTGGACAGAGCGAGATCCTTCTTCCTCCACCTCCATTATGTTATCGTAACTCCCAGCTCTGTAAGAGCATTTCACACCTATGTTAAGACACTGTATTCTGAATGTACTTGCCATTTGTGTCATGTTGCATCTTAAAAATTAATAAGCCTAATTACCATGTGATTATTAAATGCTAGTTACAAAGTCAAATAATCTAATAATAAAAAAAGTTTTTAAAAAGACAACCACCACATACGGTACAGCCCCAATTACTTACCTTGCACTCTTGGAAAACCCATTCTTGAGGTCCTTCTGTACGTAGTTTTTGAATATATTGAAACATGTGCAAAATAATATCTTCAACATGCACTGAAAAGAAAAAAATACTTAATAATTCAATCAGATCTTCACAGAGAAGAAATTTAACAAACACAAATATGGTTTTATTTTCAATTACACTTCGATAGATCAAGATCTTTAAGTACATCTGCAATCCCACCAACAAAGTTAAAGTTGCTTTTCTCAAACATGAATTTAAGGTGTTTATGTCCCCAGCTAATTCCACGAACATGTCTTTATGTGAAAATATTGATTTAAAATACAATTTAACTCGGGTCTAAATAGTATGAATAAGTAGCACACAACTGTATTAAAAGCTCTTCTTTTAAAGAAGTTATTTAAAGTATTTAATTAGCTAATTTAATATAACCTTAAATAAGTTGATTTCTTATGTTAGGGGAAGCGTGTTAGCATACTTAGAGGAACTAAACACAGAATAATAACAAGTTAATTAAAATAAACTGGCTTTCAAGCTATATAATAACAATTAGTCTCTTCAGATACAAACACAAAACCATCACATCAGCAATAACATGGAACACAGACACAGTGCTTCACTTACAAAGTCCTTCTTCGGTCAAGTCCACATTGATGATGAAAAACATGAAACCTCTAGCACCTTCCTTCTGGCCTCCAACAAGTGTATTTACCCATCCTATGTCATTAAAAAGAAACTATATTACAAAAAATATCTATAAAAATTTATGCAACTTTTTGCATGCTTCAGCAACATCATTTTTTTAAAACCTGTTTTGATTAATTTATATGTTTTCCTTTATTTCCTTAATGTCTACAGCAACAGTCCAAGTTAAACATAACACAAGTTAGGATCTATCTGATTTTGTACTCAGAGTGATATGACAAACTCAGGATCATTTGATTACTGGATAATTTACTTCTGTTTGGAACAGAATGATACAAAGTAAAACAGCAAAAGGTACACCATTGAAAACTTCCAGACACTAAGGGACCTGACAGTAATTTCAAAGTTAGTGACAGAATAGAGACAAGATCATTATGCCGAAGGTCATATAACTCTCTAAACAAGGCACATAAAGGAGAGTCCAAGAAATAATAGCTTCAGCAGCCTGAATGACTGCTACCTGTTTATTCCTAGCTGCTGAGAAACAAAAATAAAGCACAAAATTACTTAATAGTTCCAATCACTCAAACAGACGAAGGCTTTAACATATAGAGGTCTATTCTAAGTGAAATGTAGCTAAACTTTAAAAAAATGTGTGATCAAATATTTTTCAATTCTCTACCTTCAAAGGACTTACCTTTGGCTTTAAGCTCTGATAGAAGACTCCCTGGGCCTTCATGCCCAATCAGATGGCCAAGGTAATGGCCAGGGTTTGATTTATAGTACTTCTGAAGGTCTGGTATAGGAAATGTGACATAGAGATTTCTAATGTCCTTAATGGGTACCACTTTGTAAAGTTGCTGAGGGGAAAAACAAACAAGAAGACCCATAAACAAAGGAAAACTCATTTACTGTATTAATCTCAGGAACATGTATCATATTCCCTTCACACACACACATTACGAACACATCTCCCAAATCTCAAAACTTAGGGCAACAGTTCAGCCATTCATGATACAAACAAAGAAAATTGATTATCTCACAGTTGCTTACAACTGCAACCAAATGTGCAACATTTACTATAAACTATACAAAACTATACTCAGCATGGAAAAGTGAGTGGAAAATAAATAAAGAAATAGGTAATTTAAAAGGGATATTGATAAAAGAGTAGTAAAGTGAGCAACGTATTACTGAAACATAAAAATTAACATTTAAAATATACACTCTGGATGGGAGACATATCTCTATACGTACCCGGAGATGCTCTTCTTGGAAAGGATGTTCAGGAAACTCTGGTATAGGGACATTTTTATTTTCTACTTCTGAAAATAGCTTTACCACTAAGCAAGTCAGCTCATCCAAGGATTCTAGAACAAAGAAACATTAGGAAAAACATGGTCATTATACAAGGATTCTCACAAATTTTTTTTTATTGTTTGGGAGACTCATGAATTATACAGAAAAATGGTTTTAATGGTGTTACGATTTTTAATTTCAGAAAGAAAATATTCATATTTAAATTTTGAACTGTAACATGCTTTAGAAGCACCATGCTTATTAAAGAAAGTCTTCAATCATTATTAAAATAAATCCTTTAACTGAAAATATATGTTTTGCAGATTAAACTAAGCTAAAACTGAAAGATCCATGAGCTATCAAACACTTAAAAAAATAAACATTCCACAAAAAGCTTAAGGGACATAGAATTACAGCTGCAAATTTTCTAGAGTGAAAGCAGCTTTGCCAAAACTTGAATTTTCTTTAGCCTCAGCTCATGCCCAGTACTACAGGTACACTGTGAGCCAGGTCTATCCTTAGCACCCAAAACACACACACTTGTGACCTGTTCAAACACTTCCAATTTTACATTCATTCTAATTTCAGTCTGTGAGTGCACTACCTTGCAAGAATGAGAGAAGACCTCTTGCAGAAAGAATACAATGATGTACATTAACCCAAAATTGACCTAGACCATTTCTGTTGAAATTCTCTCTTCAAAATTGCTTTCTGCCTCAAAAATGCATTTTGGAGCACTTCTCAAAGTAAGCAAAAAAGAAAGATACTACTGACAATTTTTTAGTGAAAGGCTTCCAAGGGTGGGCACTGGAGTTTCTTGGACATCTCAAAGTACAACCTTAAATCTTGGAAGATTTTTAAAAGCATTTACCTTGTTATCAAAACAATCCCAGTTAGACTGAGAAAGTAGAATCTTTCCTGCCCAATATATGCATGCTCCTACAGTACACTAACAGAACTGTCCAGGGGAAAAAAACTAACAAAGCAATGGAAACTAAGAGGGTCCACTATACACTAAAATTTTGTGAACTGCAAATTATTCTATTAAAAACCACCAATTTTTATGCATATCAGCAAAATAAACATTCATTTAATCTTGCAGGGACAGTTTTCCTTAGTACAGATTTACAGTCGCCAAGGTGACTCTTACTGAAAAAGTTTCCATGTAAAATTCCTCAGTGAACTTGCTTTTGATTACATTAAAAGCTTGTTTTCTTCCATTCGTACTCACCATCTCAACATTACTGTGAAACACCATACAAATACAAGTCTGACAGTGCATTTTCAAAAAGCAAACAGTTTTCAACACACTGCTATTAAGCTTTTGCCAAACCTATGTAAGATACCATCTCGACTGTGGAAGGTTCTAAGCAGTTGGAACCTCCATTTTATTTTTCTTAAGTATATATGTAAAGTCTTAACCAACGAACAGAACAAACTTACCTCTTCCTAAGACACAAATAGCCATTAAATTTGATGAATAGTAAGTAGAATGGAACTTCAGTAGCTCTTGCCTTACATCTATTCCTTCTTGGGTTGGTCTAGTTTCCAGAGTGAATTTGTTCCCTGTAACAGAAAAACAATTAAAAATATTTGATGTTTAACAACATTTAATGTTTATTAACTTAAAAATCAAAAAGAAATATATAAATTAATCACTGCATTCCTTTAGATGGATAGTAATTTTAAAAATAATCAATATTCATAATAAGAAAACTAGATAAATACGGTCTTCTGTTTTAAATATTTTGTCTATATTCCTCACCATCTGCAGACAAATTAAATGGCGAAGTTCTAGACAACCTACTCTGTTTACTCCCACAGCATCAACACCTAAGTTAAAATAGAATAACATAGTTAAAGCTTCAGTCAATAACTCTGCTGTTACAGTACTGGAGGACTTTAGGAAGCAACAGTCAGAAGACACCTTGCAAATGTAGGAAAATGGACACTAGCCAGTGCAGAAGTGCCTGGAAAATTACTTGACACTGAGGGTAATGATGGAGAAGAATCACCATCACAAGCATTAATTCAGGGAGATCAGTGAAGGATATCTGGGGAAAAATGCACACCCTTAAAAAGACAACTGGAAGGTGCATTTGTTTCTATGGACAGAGAAGGAATTATAGAAGGTTTGCTGACCAAACACGGTGCATAGTAATGAGGAGTGATGTGAAGCATCAAATGGAGTAATTCCCATACTCTGCTAAATTAACATCTCAGCTGATCAAAAGGAAACAGTAAGGACACCAAATGCATCACAGTTGTCATCCCTTTGGGTAAATAAACCCAGCAAAGCTGAGCCCTACTTCTGCATAGTCATACTTACTGGAAGGCTATGTGCTGTAATTTTATTTCAGAATCAGAACCTAATCTAAGGAGAAAGGAATATGACTATTACTGTTGAATTACTGTTGAATTTTGGGAAAAGTTTGGGTATTCTCCCTAAAACAGTTCACCTGTGTGAGCTAGACAACCTTCTTAAACTGTACAAAACTATTTCTGCAATTTCCACTTATGTTTTCTGTGTGCTACATAAAAATTAAATAATGTCTTCAGTAGCAGAGATTACAGAATGTACTTCGAACACCTGTCTACTAATTTACAGCTCCAAAGGTGTCATTTAAAAATTTACCTGTTTGAAGAATGGAGTTATAGTTTCATTTTTACAGACAGCCTCTCTTTACTGGTCAACAGAGCAATACCTGCTCTTGCAGCAGGTGGCTACCAGATCCATAAATATGTTCTCCATCAACAGATGTAAAGGTACATCTTGTCTTTTTAGAGACAGAGGAAAAAAACACTGCCTTAAAGCTCATTATCTGCTCTCCCATCCTCCTACTGCACGCAATACTTGAGTCGATTATTCATAAAGCAAACTGACCCATCCACAAAACACATTTTTTGAGCACATTATACTCAATGATTAAACAGTGCAGTCCTGTAACTTTGAAGGTTTCAAAAATAAATTCATGTAGAAAATCATGTCTATCAAAAAAACCACCCAATATTTAGACTTCTACCAAATCATCAAACATTTGTGGTTTTGTCAAGAACTATGGTATCTTAACAGTAATGCTTTTTGAATTGAGGTTCTGTGGTGTTTACTCCAAATTGTTACTAAGCATTCTGTCAATAATTAAGCCTGAACAACAACAAAAAAATTAAATACAGCTGTAGGATTGGGATTTGTCCAAGATCATTTTATCTGTCCATTTTCCACTGTCGTGCTCTATAGTTTAGATTTTGTTTCTATATTCCTACTCAATAATTTTCACAGTATTTTGCTGATCTTTCTGATTTGACCTAGTCACTGTCATCTAGTCTAAATGCAATATTAAGTAACAAAAAGCATGTGGCTAACAGCAATTTAAACACAATTCATTCTCTTTGTTCATACACAATTTAAACACAATTCATTCTCTCATTTTTTCATACACAAAGACTTAGCAGTACCAAATTATGACAAACCCAGTAACTGGAAAACAGCACTCACTGCAGTAATTACCAGAACTGTACAGATTGATTCATCATTGTACTCAAAGTCTTGGATCACTCTTTTTCCTATGCTTTTGTCTAGCTCTGTTTAGTCTATGATGTGAAAAATGTGATAAAGCACCATAATAAACATGTATGGAGAGGAAAATAAGAGAATTGCTAAAGTCTGTCTTTGGAAATTTTATATAAGCAATAGTACTATGTATGTTATACAGAACTCCACTGGATAATTATACTCTGACAAACCTGTTCCAAATTTACTGAAGGGATGGTTGGGGTTTCCAGTAGCCTTCTCCAATTGAAACAACCTCCAGGCATCATTCATCAGATTCTTCTCATGCTCAGAATCAACAGCATTCACTTCCCTATCTTTGCAACTTTCATCAAACAGGGGGCACAGGAAAAACTGGGCAAATCTAAAGAGAAAAAAATTTCGTTCAAGTCAAGATTACTGTAAATAAATTGTAACAGAAAAGTATAAAGCTTGGTACCTCATGAAAACAGCTGAATACCTTATTTTTTAATGCAGAACTTACTAATTCTGTAAGTTTTGATGCTAATTTAATATTATTATTTCTCAATTTCTTAGTTTATAAATGCAGACAACATGTTCATCATACAAGGTAGTACAAGAATCAAGAGCATCACAATTACCACAGTGAAAATTTCTCCTGTTCTTAGGTTTAGCTGCAAGAGGGTCTTAATTTCACCAATCAAATAAATCTTGTCAGATGTGCAGGGAGAAGCCAAAGAGAAAACTCACTGTACCTCACTGACTATACACCTTTTAATTTCTGTCCCCTCCCCCAAAACACTGAGATTTCAGCAAGTTCTCCCTATTGAGTGTCCTTAAATATTTCTAGATTTCACCCCTGTTTTGCTTTCAATAAGGATCCCATGGGAAGCACAGCATTTGATTGCACCATGCCAGTATTTGCACAATGTGTAAATTCATGATCATACTCTTTGTCCCACATTTCCAAAAATATTCAGTGTAAATACAACATTTAAACTTCCAAAATTGTGTCACAATGAAGAACTCTCCTAAATAAAACAAAAAATCTGAGTAAGACTTTCAAGCTGAAAAATATCTGGTTATCATATTTAACAAAAGATGGTTTTTACCTTTTTTTTTAATATCATAATGATAGAATTATAAAAAAACTTTTACACTAATAAATTCAAGTAGAACCTCTGTGACAAAAAAATTAAATACTAAAAAGAATGTGTTTACCTATCCAGTGCACCTTCTAGATGTTCATGTGACACATCAAAGTAGTAGTTGGTATGTTCTCCACTCGTGAAAGCATTTGAGCTCCCGGCATGCTCACTTAGAAATTGGCTGTACTCATTTTCTTTTGGATATTTCTTGGTTCCCAGGAACAACATATGCTCACAAAAATGACTAAGCCCAGCAATGTTGGGGGGATCGGACAACGATCCTACAAAAGGAAAAATTTCATGTAACCATTCACAAAATGTAATATTAAAACATTAAATCTTTTAAAGTACTCTCTATTACAGTATGTTGCTTCAGGCAATTATATCAATTCTGTGGCTGTAAGAAGACACTTGTGCAACAACAGTCAACTAAACTTAATATTCAAAAAAATATTTTAAAAATCAGAATTAGTAGCTGAACCAATTAGTGTATCGAACTGCCTCTCCAGTTCAGCTTCCAATTCCTTCTACAGATGATTTTCAATTGAAGTCCATGACTCATAATCTGTAAAGACCTGGCAAATCACACTGTTCTGAAATCTATACCTTGACTTTAATAAGTGCATTGTGTTAAGAGGCAGCAATTGCCAACCATAATTAAAGAGGTATTTATCCTATGGTTTATAGGAGGAGTGATAAGCTGTAATTGCCTGAACACATGCAGCTATGGATGACCAGCTAATAGGCGTGAAGGCAAACAGATTAAAAGACAACAATGATTTGTAAGAATGGAAGACAAAGGCCGAAGTTTGAGAGTGGCAGTCCCGCCTTGGAGTGTGCAGCAATGTGTAGTGGGAGAGTGGAGATGAAGGCAACAGATACATCTCCTCCAGCACAGGTGCAGGAATTGGGTGCTACAGTTGGCTATCACTAACACAGGACCTAAACAAAACCACATTCAGGATGCTCAGAACTAGCTAATGATCTGGGACAGCCATCCCCATAACAAAAAAGAACAGAAGTTTTTGAAGTCCCTCTATTATTTCTGCCCTAACACAAACAGCAGCAGGAGCTCCCACTTACAGACATGGCAAGAGGGTGTTTAGATTATGCACACATGAATTGTACTTTCCAATCAACTCAAAATCTACAGTTTGAGATATAACTCAGATATAAGAAAAGGCTTCCATTATTCCCAAGAGTCAAAGCAATTCCCTTCCCCTTCTATTTCCCATATTTCTGTTGCACACATAAGCACCACTGAAGTTAGGGAGTGCCTCTCTAACTTCCCTAGCACTACAGCATTTTCTCACCTCTACACACCAACAACTTAGCATGAAAAAAAAAAAGTCTGACATGACAGATGGAGCTGTCTGAAATAATTGCACTTGCACCCGCCCCTTTTCTGCTTACAAAAGATCTTTCATAACATGAAACTTAATGGTTAAAAGCAGTCTTTCGACTGACTGAGCTACACTTGAGTAAACACAGAGCACAATAAGAGCATTTAGCTCTAATAATTTTTGATTTGATGTGCCAAAGAATTAAATAAACTATAAATTACAATAAAGGCTAGGCTGCCAACTGCATACCACGCCTGTCAGTTTATTTGCATCAAGATACTAAAACCTGAAGCATTTTTATTAATGACGTAACTAACACAACATGAATTGAATACCTATGTGGACATCAAGTGCTGCTGAGGACTTATCTGTGGTGGGGTCACTAATGAGAAGAGCTTTAATGCCATTTGCCAATTCCAGTCCACGATATTCTCGTTTATCTTCAGGTGATTTGATAATTTCATTTGTTATTCTCTTAATAGCTGGATTGTTCATTTTGTTGTTTGTCTCCTTTTGAAACCTTAAAGAAAACAGAAGAAATTTTTTACTATTTTCATTTAAGCCTTGCTAATATTTTAATATTATGTTAGACAATACAGGGCTATACGAACAGCTAGAAGTTCTACTATGCGTAAAATTCACTGAACTTGCCTAAAATTCAGATCCTGAAACATACTGCTGCTAAAACAAAAAAGGAACCTTGAAGACCAAGAAACACAATAAAGATGTATATCATTTAACTGAATGCTTCAAGTATCACATTAATTGTAATTTAAACAACCCAAATTTAATAAATGTCATCCCCTTATTTGATTATTATATAAAATAAATAAAATTAAACGTATCCTGCTATTTCAAGTATAATTTAAAATTTCAGGGAACTATTCCACATATCTGAATTGCTGATTATATTACGAGTGTGGTAACTCTGATTGTCAAATAAACAACATTCTACTAACAAACCACTGGATTTGTACACTCAAGCAAGAAACGGTGACACTGTTTGCAATAGTGCCGTAATACGAAGACTGTAAAAACTGCCATGATAAACAGGAATAGATTGCCTCACATATTTAAACTTCTACCGTTAGTTTAACAGATGCTACAAGACACCCTTCTTTAAAGGAATGATTCTGAAATGCTAAGGAATTAAGTGTGGCTGATTTAGAATCTGAATGTCTACAAGCAAAAACTATAAACAATATGAAGTAACTTTTTAAAATGTGTGGCTCAGTGCATTTTAGAAGGAAACATATAAACTAGTAAAACATGGTTTTCTCACACTATGAAATTCTTTGAAAAACAGAAAGACAGTCAAATGTAATCACTAAACAGTAGCTGAAATGCTGAATTTAAATTTAAATTTGTACACTCATCTAAACTGGTCATTGATCCACTAGTTTAACCCTGTACTCAGGCTAATCCTGGTTGGAATATCTGCACCAAAAAAATGCAGATACCATTGAAATACAAAGATTACTCCAAGTACCACAATATCCCTGTTTCTCTACATCAACAGCATAGATACAAACCATGCTGACAATTAAAAGATGCCTCCATGTTCAAAGTTCAGAGTCTTAACAAATACTCTACTAAAATTAATTTAAACACAATTCATTAATTGTGTTTAATTAATAAGCTACTGTGTAAAATTTTTGAAGTGAGAATAAATACTTTTCATATATGAAAATCAGTAACTAAACTGCTCCCAACTGTTTTTCACTTGCACACAAACTGGACTGACAACAAGTATGTGGGAGAACAAGATGTCCCTTAAGCTCCTGATTCTGTATCTGCTAACGAACACCTATACCTTGGTTTTCAGCTAGAATATTCTATCTCAGTAAGATACTAGTTGATTGTCAGAAGACACATATATACTATAAACTACTTGAGTTGTGGGGTTTTTTAAATGTTATACAATTTCCTTGTCATCTGATATTACCTTGTTATTTCTATACCCCATCACTAAGTCACAGAAGTTTACTGTTTGTTCAGATGACTCATGTTTCCAATGTGATTCATCAAATTATGCAGCTATGAAACCTTATGAGATTTCAATTGATGTCTTACGAAGCTGTACACCTCCACTCCATTTTATTATGATTCCCTACTTCTGCCTCCTTCATAGTCTACTTCCAGCTTGGCAGTGAAATTCCAGTACAGGAAAAATCTACAATTTTCAAAAGGATGACATCAGTAATTAAGCCTTCAAATCAAGGACTGAAATTTGTATCTCCACCTTCACTGTTATTTTAATGGGCATAGTGAATATAACATTCTCTAACTTCAAATGGGTTTGCATGATTACCTACGATTATTTTGCTGCAAAGTGAATCATAGTACCAGACAACTCGAATAAAAGCAAGGGCTGATCTACTATGCAATACTCCTGGAAGGCAAATACGTCAAAAGGGCAAGACAACTCCTTTCTGCTTAAGTACTGTTCCTCCTGCTAATATGTTACTACAGTACAAAAGTGAAAAAACTTCACTTTAGAAAGGACTTTTATACCATTATGTTTTCTTAAGGAGTAAACTGTAGGACCCAATACTAAACATTCCCTCATATGACTGTTTTCCTGTGCAGCTTTCAAGTAAGTGCAGACGCTTTATAAAAATACCACATTCCATTCCTTCACACCAGAATCCTGAAACTCTATAAATCACTTCCTGACAATAGAACTGCTTTTAACCACAGGCAAAAAAAAAAACAGACAACCAGAAATCCTGTAGTTATTTTTTGAGAAGTAGCTTAATTTCTAAAGCCATGTTCAGAAGCTGTCCTAAAGTCCATGTGCTATAGCTACTTGCTGTACTGTCATTACAGAGAGCACTGGATGCTGCTGCTCAGTAGTAAAACAATTCTTCCACAAAGGAGGTGCTATATTTATTGCAGAGCTAATAGCCTAACAAAAACATTAAAATAAATATTGCCATACTGCTTTCACAAAAGAGAAGCAACAGAGAATGATGTGATAAAAAGCTAAAATTGCATTACTGTGGCAGTGGAAATTCTTCCACTCAAAAAATTACAGGTGGAAAGATGACAAAGGTAGAAAGAAAAAAATAGGGATGTCTGAACTGAGAACAGTGTCCTCCATGAATACGAAATATTCTTTCTTCTCATCAAAACTACTTCACTTGTACAAGAAAAGTGTCAGTTAAAACCAACAGCGAATTTTCAATTACAGCACTTCTAGTGAAATTATATTCTATTCTTTGAGGTTCCATTTTTGTAATCATTTCCAGGCAGGCAGTCCCTTGGAACCAGCAAGGCTCTCTGGAGATGCCAGGTTTCACCTGCAAACAGAGTATTAGAGAGTGGGATTAAGTGATATATGAGTCTCCTTCACTATTTTAATCTCGCGGAGTTATTTTAGCAAAGTTACTTTAATTAAAAATTAGCCTGTGTAGTCAAATATAAGTCCAATGTTTGAACAATTAAAGGACCACGTTTGAAAACCAATTAACAGAAACTCCTGAGGGTTGTTTCAATGCAAGAATGTGACTAGCTAATAAAAATATGACCCCCAAGGCACAAACTCCAAAGTTCTTCCCAAGATAGTTTTTGTCACGACAGTATGCACATACTGAAGTCAAGTGCTAGTACACAGGTCTGCTCCAGATGAAAGGCAAGTTACCATCTCAGCAGGTTTTGATGCTTGCATTCTATCAGTTGCCTTAACATTCACGTGTGCTCAAAGTTTTTATGCAGCTAATTGCTTACCATTTACCAGAGTGAAGTGAAACCTTCATTGAGTGAGAACCTCTGTTCTGTCCTGCAAGGGAGTTAGTTACCATTGGTAACATGTTCTCTGTGTTGTTTACTAATCCAGCTTGGTTTACACGAAGGTTTCTCCAGCTGCCAAAGCATGGAGTGAAAGAAGTGCTGTGTGCTTTGGCAGGAGGCCCGGTGCTGCAGAACTACCAGCCAGAGTTTCCTCACCTCTTACAAGGATGACAGCACCAAACTGAGCACTCTGGAGGAGTCCATGAAATTCTTCAATTGCAAGCTCATGGCTTTGCAACAACCAAGTAAATCTGCATTCTTGCACAGCTCTGCACCCCTCCTCTTTGTCTCTTGCACCTACTTCTGATCATGACAGCAATAGAATTATGTTACCAGTAAAACAATCAAGAATTTACCCACTCTCTTAGCATTTCCATTCACCTCTATGTTATAATAATAATGGGGTCTTTTAGACTAAACTGTAGGCAGGAAAGTTAAATCAATTCAGGTGAACATTACCAAAAGGGATTCTTTAAGAGACTATCCATACTCTTTCAGTTTACACATTCATCAGTCGTTCTTTTAGGCACATAGAGATTAAAATGCCTCATGATTCAACATCCATAAAACATCAATCTTGTGTGAATTTTCTTGCCATGAAGCTAGAGAATGTATGAGATCCCAACACATTCCTGATACTGATCTAAATAATTCTGATTGCATGCATAGGCAGACAGACTGCATAAGCAGACAAACTGCTAAAAATCTATCACTTTTAAACTCATCAGGAATTCAGTATACTACTTCATACACAAAAGATCCAACTACAAAGCCCCACAATGATTTAATCAGTGCTCCCAAGTTATTAAGAACAACTAATCATGCCAAATCAGGCAAGTTTGAAGATGATGAATATTTATAAGGTTTTGTTATGTAGTTCATTCTGAAGAAATTCTAAAGTCTCGCTACAATTAAAGCATTTTCAGAACCTCAGTCTGCAGCTTTTTGCCAAGTCTATAATTGAGTCCGAAAATTCCCTCCTAATGATGGTGGCCAGGGCAGATGCCTGCCATGCTCTTGTTTCCCAGATTCCAGCTTCTACAGCTTCTAGATCACAGCAGTAAAACTAGGTCTGCCACAGGCTGCACTGCCAACGTGACACCAGAAACACTGGTGTGTAACACCAGTGTACAGGAATTACCAGTAGCATTAATGAGACCATACCACGTGTGACCTTGGCAAAAACAAGGGCCCTGGTAGTTTCACATATGAGATCAGGCCCCAGCTGAGTAACTCACCTGAGAAGTACAATGATGTGTTGGCCAAATGAGATGGGATATACAACCAAAACACTATAAAACTAATTTACTGCCCTAAATACAGTCCTTAATTTGACCACTTCACAGTTTCCAAAGCACTGAGCAAAAAAGTCAAACAAAAAGGCAGGACCTTATACAATTTGATGTTATACAGAGCAATAAAGATAAGTTGTTTTTTTAATTCTAAATAACTTGAGCTTACTTTTCCTATGTCCTAAAAAATTGCCCCAAACAATTCATCCAAACACAACCTCTAAAGTAAACAAGCTCTAACCGCGTTCACCAGAAACAGAACAATTAATCTTTCCCTAACAATTCTTTGCTTCAATATTTTACAAAATTCCAAAAGGGTTTTGAAGCCTTTGATTATTTGGAAGACCTAGGGGGAGGAACATTAAGTAAAATTATCTGGCTTTAATCTTTAGATGTCATTAATATATAGGATCATTAAAATTTCCACACATCTGGCACAGTAGTTTGGCTTACATCAGTATTTTCAAACTGCACGTTAATAACATGACTGATCAGACAGACTAGTTTCTGTGCTATGTGACCAACTGCTTCAAAGCATATTTTACACATTTTCTTAAGAAATGTACTCATTACTTCAATTAATTACTTTATTCATTGAATACTCGCAGACCAGTGGCTCTTATTCTCTCTTCCTCCGCCCCTGACATCTTTGTTCCATCATCCTACAGTTGCAGGGCTTGCTCCACAACCCCAGGACTGTGGTGGTGTCTAGCGCATGGCCCTGCACACACTGAGGAAATGTTAAACTGGATGCTACAGGAGAGACCCCTGTGCTTTATTCAAACTGTGTTCTGATGTGTATTTCATAGACTTTATGTGCAAGTAGCACATCAGATTGCCCAAAACTCTTTGTAAAGCCAACTCACTTAATGCTTTATGCTACCATCTGTCTTACACCCTCAAAAAGAAAAAACTTGTGAGGTTTGAATTAAAAAAAAAACCGAAAAACAAAACAAGATGAGACTAAAACTTCAGTTATACAGCATAACAACATGAAATTCACAGAAAGATGAGAGAACTGGCAAGAAAATCTGATCTAGCAACAAAAACAGAGAACTTTAGAATTCTGAATCATTAAAAGCACTGTAATCCCACATTAAAAGCAACTGTTTATCCAACGCTCGAGCTTTGACATGAGCAACAAACCCATAACAATGAGCAGTTTACAAGAGTCAGCGGTGTTTCAACAAAAGAAGTCCTGGCTGTTCACCTATTTTGTAGTCAAATTTTTACAATTTTGGACAATTCAATTCTGGTTCTACTGTTAAAATTATAAACAAACTCTCAGCTCTACAGCATTCTTTTCCATATCAATTGTTCAGGCAAGCTACTTCTGACTCATTCTAAAAACAAGATGTAGAAGGTAAGTTTTCAATAGAAAACTAGTAAAGTAACTTTCAAACAGGATCCATCAAAAATTACCTTATTATATACACACAGTGCTATCTCATAAGAATATTTCAGCAACTTATGGGTATCACAAAAACCGAAAGCAAAGATACTCACTGACTGATTATGCATACACAAATACACAACCAGACAAAACTGATTGAAGCAATTTCTCTAGATTTTTACTACGGACTTTTTGATTTCTATGCTGTTAAAAGATCAGACATCCAAAGTTCCTACAAAAGCATCTAATACAGTAAAATAATTATATCAAAAATATCAACCCCACATGCCATTTCTCAAATGGTCTGACCGCATTTTGTAGTAAATTACTTCTACAGTAACACCTATAGCTAGGAGCCTAATACCTTCCTGCGCAGTGAAACACCAGAGGTAATGCACTTCTTGTCCCTTCCCTCTTTCTTCTGGATCTAACAGGGGAGGGGAGTGCTTCTGTATTCATGTGCGAAGTAAGTTATATACATGACACTTTAATCCATTCCCAAGGTAACGTTTTATCCAAGGTATTAAACCACAGCCTTACACTGACTGAAGACAGAAAGGAGAAAGCAAGCAAAAAAGGCAGGCAAACATATCAATCCCAAAAAAGAATAAGTAATTTTCATGCTGTACATCAGATAAAAAGGAGGTAAGTTGTAACTGAAAAATTATCTTGCTACTTGACATAGAGATGGAAGTTTAAAATGTTATGAAAAGAAAAACTTCAAGCAAGAACAAAATACAGAGATGGAAACAGGGAAGATGTAACTGAAAAAAGAATTCTTAATTTTCACATCTTAAAAAATCATCTCATGCCTGCTCTCATTTCATTATCATTTATGTAAATCCTAATTCACAATTAAAATTAAATGGATGATTAAATCATGGTTGTAGGCAGCATGAAAACATAACCGGCCTACTCACACATACAACGTTAAGTCCAAATACTACATATATTCACACGCATAAAGAGGAGTAATCTAGCAGGAGAAACTACAGCCTGAGAAAAGCATTGACTCCGAATATACACTGTGGATTACCTTTACAATTCTGAAGCATAAATAGCAATAATGAACAGTAACAGTACATCCGAATTTTGACACACGAGCGCCGACAGTACGAGTCATCATAACTCACTTTTTTCCCCGTTAAGATGTTACTTTTGACGTCTCTAACTTATGCAGTATTAAAAATAGGTTTGGCTACTAAGGTAATAGATACACTGTTAATGAAATTAAGAAAACAAATTAGCCTTTTCCCGTTACCCCCAGCTCCCTTCCCGGACAAACTCTGCCGAGTTTTTACGCAGTTTAAATTGCCCCTAAAAGTGAGCTATGCCAAGTCTCCCGCCCGCTCCTCCATTGATCGCGATTAGTTGCGCTCTCTCCACTGGAGCTGGTGACACTGGGAACACAAACACGCAGTAACAAGCCCCGCACAATGCCAGTGCCAGACAACTCGTCAGAAACTGAAAAGGCCACTCCCATCAAGTTTGGGTAACTGATAGCAGTTCCTTAACGATTTTAAACTTTTTTCTTTTTTCCATAATTATGCCTTAGGAAGACATGGCAAGTTAAGTAACACGACAATTCAAGAAGGTTTTTTGAGAAGGAAGTAGAACAACAAAGCAAGCCCCCGGGCAACGAAAGCCTGCTTTGTCAAGGGAGGTGCAGCTGCTAATACCGGAGCACGTCAGCCCGGGCTCTCCCGGCCGGCAGAGCAGGACACAAGACAGGACACAAGGCATGGCTCAGGCCTCCTCGCCACACACGACCCCACCGCCCCCATCTCGCCCACCGCCTCCCCGGAAGGCTCCGGCGCCAGCCCCGCTCCGCGGCCCGAGCTCCCCCGGCTCCCCGCCGCACTCGGGGCAGGGCGGGCGCTCCCCTGGACTCACAAGGTGCCCCCGTCCGGCCGCGCCGCCGCCTCTTACACAACACCGCGGGGGCTCTCTGGCCTCACGGCCCGGAGCCACACGGCCCCGGGACCCGCGGCCCTGCCCCGGCCCCACCGCACTCGCACCGTACCCGAGAGAGCTGCACCGCCGGCCCTGAGGGAAAGAGCGCGAGGCCGGAGCGGCCCAGGGGCGCGTCCAGCCCGGCAGAGCCCGGCTCAGCACAGGGAACAGCCGCTGCCGCATATCCCTGGCGGCCCCGCCGCCAGCACTGGCCTTTCCCCGCCGCCGCACGGCCCGGCTCCGCTCGCCTCAGCACGCGCCGCCCGCCGGCGCCATGTTCTCCGCCCGCCTCCCCCCGCCGCCCGGCCAATCCCTCCCGGCGCCCGCGGGGTCCCGTCCGCCCTCCGCGCCCGGGCCTGGCGGGACCCGTACCTGGGGGTGCCGGGAGCTGCCGCCTCTGCCGCCGGGAAGGCCGGGGCTGCGGCTGAGGAGGGGGCCGGGGGCCTCTGGGAGGAGGCGGAGGCGGTGGAGGGGGTGGGTGGCTGGGCGGGGAGCCGGGGCGACACTCGCCGCGGCGGGGGGGCCGCGCCCGGCGGAGGCGGACGGGGCTGCGGCGCGAAGGGCGGCGGGGCGGCCCCGGGCTGCACCCGCGGAGGGACCGTGTCGCGTCCCGCCCGCTTCCTGGTGGCCGCGCTCTGCGTCCCTGGCGGCGTCTGCCAAGACAAAAGGTAATTAGACTCCTCGTAATTTGAGCACAGTGGGTGCAGTGCCGTCCTGAGAGGCAGAGATTTCGGGTGTCAAAATCCTCTGTCCCCCAGGGAGAGGTCACCCTCCGGCAGCTCTCCCTGTTTTGGGCGCTCCCCTTGGAGCCCGCTGGCCACCGCTCACCTGCCGCGGAGCTCTGCGGCCTTGCCACGCCGGACACAGGATTCGCCTCGCAGGATGGGTTTACGATGTGTAGATGCTGGATAAGGTTGAACTTCTGTTATAAAACCATAGATTTGGGGTCCTAAGCCGATGGGTTTTTTTTTCTTGGTAGATTTCCTTGTGGGAAAGTCGTGGATGTGACTGGTTGCTGTAATTCCTTTATAGGAAAAAACAAAACCCCCAAATTAAAAACAAAAAACAAAACAACAACAACAAAACACAAAAACCAAAACAACCCCCCCCCCCCCCCCAAAATAAACTAAAGAAATCACCACAAAAACCAACCAACCAACAAGGTGTCCCCCTCCCATAAAAAAAAACAAAACACTGTTTGTAGTTCTGGTAATAGGCTTTCTTCATGTGTATCTATTTTTCTGTGTCTTATCTTCCAGAGTTATGAAGGAGGAAAATAAAGTAAGACAAAAACAATGTGATACATTTAATGCCTGATTTTAGCTTCCCGACTGCTTGCCTTTTATACAAGGTGGTGTCTCACAGCTGGAAATTCACAGAACCCTCCTGTCATAAAAGGGTAGAAAGTCGTGGCCAGACAAGTTACCTAAGGTTATTTCTGTACTCAAAGATGGAATTGAAGAGGTATCAGAAGTAACTTTAACCTTTAGTCAGCTTTGGTTAAAACTGGTGTTAAGAAGTGGCAGCACACAGCTTCATATGGTCAACAGAATCAACAGGGAATCAAGAAAATCTGTCAGGGAATTTGGATAAACATTCATCTTCTGGTTTCCAGGGAGGTCTGTGCTGCTATAGAGATGCTTTTACCCCTACCTGAGCTGCTCAGTTTAAAACATTTGTGCCTACATCAAGTACACCCACACTTCTGGCCTCAGTTCAGACATGGAACTGTCTCTCAAGTTAACTCATCCTGGTTGGAGCAAGGCATTTGATAGTCTTCACCTCAATCAACTGTTTGGATTTAGAACTGTGTGGGTGCCTAATTTTAACACAGTATGTTAACTCCTGTGAAAATGTCCTCATGAGATTCTAGTTTGAGGCAGTCTGGGTTTTTTCCAGTTCCTAGTGAATGTAAAAGTGAAGACCAGGCTGGACAGAAAGAGGACAGGATAAATGGTGAGCTGTTAAATCTGAAGTCCACCCTGTTGCTATTGCCATTACGTCAAAGGGTCATCCCATGGTGTCTGACAGAAGGACTGCCGGGTGAGTGCCCCTTCACAATCTGTCTCCTTTCAGGAGCAGCTGGGGATTAAGAGTTTGTGAATTTGAGTCGTTCTGTTAAATTGAATGTACAGTAGAAATACTTCTGCCTTTAGTGTTAATACAGTTATCATGTAGGGGTGAATGCTATAGAATTATACAGTTTCAGGAAATTTACTGTTTTTTCGGGTCCCAAAGTTTGTTAGCCTAATGTAGTATATATTTAGCTAATGCTGGCCTGATCTATATTTAGCTGCTTTAATAAATCCTGCCTTTTCCTATAAATCTTGCCTAGTGTATACAGGGGCAATCCTGGGGAAGCAAGGTAGACTGTGCCAGCAAGACTGGTGGTCTGCTAAAATGTGAATCTAAAACAAGCACTTGTGTTTCTGTGATATGATGAAAGATCACACCTCCTCATGCATCTAACATAGTTAAGGCAATAGTTGCAGAGGTATGCAATAGAGATCACGCCTACTGTACTCCTATGTTATCCACTGTAAGCTTATTTAGGCTATTCAGAGTCCCTGGTGTGTCCTGGTTAACCAGCAACTAGAGATCAGGCAGCCGTTTCCTCCCCTCCACCCATCCCGGTGTAATGGGGAGGAGAATCAAAAGTAGAACTTGACTGAAATACTTGACTGAAGAACTTGGCTGAAATAAAAAGAGTTTAGTCACTGAAACAAAATAAATTATAATGATAATATTAGTAAATAATGATAGTAATGATTAGAAAAAGAAAATCTCACCATCTGCTAACCAATGCTGGACCCTGCACCCAGGCCCAATCAGGCCCTTCTGGGTAACTGGTAATATATTATATTTATATCCCAGTTTATATTCTGGGAATGATGTTTTATGGTGTGGAATATCCCTTTAGCCAGTTCAAGTCACCTGTCCTGGCTATGCTCCCTCCCAACTGTTTTTTCCCCTGCACCTCCTCACTGGCAGAGAATGAGACACAAGAAAGTCTCTGATGCAGGATAAGCATGACTTGGCAATAACCAAGACACGAGTGTGTTACCGGCATTATTCTTATGTTGAATCTTCAACACAGCACTGTGCCAGCTACTGAGAAGAAAAGAACTCTTCCAGCCAAAACCAGGACACACTGGTGTTTATTCAAATCAGATTGTGTTCTTATACTCTGATACCCCTCCCTATGTCCATTTATACTAGCCAAAATTACAGTCATACACTTTTTTGGTTATCTTTTCTGTGTTTTAAAGATATTTTAATAGGACACCCTCAGCAAAAGTAGAGGACTTTCAGTAAAATTCCTTTCTCAGTCTGATCCTGCAACTAAGATTTCTTCCCCATTAAACTTTAATTGGTGCTTTTGGTCCTGCCTTCTTCATCTGCCCTAGCAGAAAAATAGGTGTTGCCTAAAAGACCAATTGAGACTAAGTGTAATTTAGAGTAAGTGTGGAAATTATTCAAATGATCCCATGAAAAGAACTTACTTATGAAGTAGCAGTGGAGAGATCCCTCTTCAGGATGTGTGACATAAATGTACAGTGAGGGAAAGTGATCTTCAAAGTAGGTAGGTTAAAAATAATTTAGAATAAACCAGTATTTTATGTATGGCCGGAAAGCTGAGAGACAGTAAGTGTGAAACTCTTTAAGTACAGTCTTGTTAGGCTTATAATGGAAGCATGTCTTTTCCACATAGATAAAATTCTGGACTAAATTCAAATTGTAATTGTGTATAATAGAGCTTTGTAGCAAACTGGCCTTGGGCTGAAAAAACCCTGTAACTTATGATTGTTATTTCCACTCCAAAATAAATGGCCACAATTTCATGAAAGAAGGATTGTCTGTTGGTTGTTCCCAGTACAAAAATACTGAATGAATAAAATAAAATCAATAAAATTAATTAATAAATATTAAAAAATTAATAATACAACAATTAATTTAAAATGTAATGAGGCAAAAGAGACATTTCCTGTTGACTTCAGTCGGTGCTGTCAAGTCCGTATGCTTTAAATTTTCCCATTCATTGTTTCTTTTCTTATTACGTAAAGGATGTCATCCAGCTTCACATCTTTACTGAAAATAGGTAACTGTAAGGAAAATTACTAGCTTAACTCTGAGCTAATCACACAAATGCATACATCCCCTTATGTTACTGCTAACTTTTTATTACAGTAACTATAAAAAGATTTAAAAGTACTGCCATCTGTATCGGACAATGATCTGGCACACATGCCTAAAAAAAAGTCTGTTATTCTGTGTATATTCCTGGTTAGTTGAAACCAGTTCTGGTTTTAATCCTGTTACATGCATTGAGTCCTTAATTTTTAACAATAAGGTAGTTATTGTATTGCATTTTCTCTTTCCTGTTAAAAGTGACATAGTTATCCTTTTACCTTGACTGAAGGAGAACCCTGTCCTTAGCTGACAACATACTAGTACTCTGTGTGTGTAAGTCGTTGTTTAACTTAATGTACATGGACAACACAGAGTTTAGAATATTACTGGCCAACTGGTCAGGCTGTTCAAAGGCTAGAATTTGCTTAATGTTTATCTGAGGTGCAGGTGATTTCCCCTTTAATGTGAATATACAATTAATCAGCAAATTTTTACTATGTCACTGATAGTATTAACTATTAAACTCTTCACATGCTCAATACAGTTGATACATTGTGTACTATATTTGCAATCAAATTGAGTGTTACTAAGCCTTGAAGAAGTCTCACTCAACCTTGTAATTTGTATTAATTATATCTCTCCATTATTATACCTTTTATAGCCTTTCTTCATTTGTAGGTAATTGTGTTCCATGTAAACAATTTTACTGCTTTTCTGGCCTCCATACCTACAATTCCCCAGGTGATCTGATACAAGCTCTAGGAAAACAGTGTTTGTTTTGTCTGTGATTATCATTGTAATTCAACAACTCTTTGTTTGCAAGCCTTAGTTAAAAATTGTCTTTCTTGATCCATATGTGGGGATTAATAGCCTCTTCTGAAATTGTTACATTTGTTATTCTGTGTATTATTATCTAATTTAGGTTTCTGTAATGTTTTTGTCTCTCTTTAAACAAAATAAAACATTTGTCACAGATGAAGTGCCTGTCTTCTTAAAGGTCCTTCTCCCAAAGACTGTTAAGACTGTGGCCTAAATATTCTTGTTTCCTTTTTCTCATATTTATTTTTATTGCTTGTGAAATGCAAGCTTCCT